TCATTTTTTGAGATTTTGGCTTCATTTTTCAGGGCTTCATTTTTTTTTGCTCCACAAAGTGTTGTAATCTTATAATGTCGGAACCTCCCTCACCCTGGGAAAAACTTCGAGGATTGGCGATAAAACACAAGATGATATTAAGTTCTATTAGAGGTTTTACGGTAACTGTTCCAACGACAGTGGTAAAGAACATAGTTTGCCGATGGGAAACCTAGTTTGTAGACTTTGTCACATCATTAGTTTTTTCCCAAGAGCACATTCAAAGTTAGGCCTTGACGTTGTGTTTCTCTCTAGAACAAATCATCAATTGATTTTTTGAACATCTATTGTATTTTCGGTACTAATCAATTCTTCGATCGATTTTTTCGATGCGTTCAATGTTGCGTTGCGGGGGATTGTGCATTCTTGTGTTTTTCATAGTCATCGTTTTTACCTCATTCTCTTTCTCTACTGTCTGGTTTGTGTAGACGTCTCTAAATACAATATAAATTGATTTTTTTACTGTTTTTTTCCATTTTTTTTTCTGATTCTATTTTTCTGTCAGTCATTTTTTTGTCAGTGTTGCATTTTTTTTAGTCTACTTCGATGCTCATTTTCGAACCTAAATTTCTATTTTTTAATACACTCATTTTGTAACCTATATTTCTCAGCCGTGTCACTAACTTTAAACTTTTCAGACAAAGTCCTATTCGTTTGAAATTCACATACGTTGAACAATGTTAGCAGCCATTCCTGATATGGACAGAAGACTATCCTACGGCAGTTTGAAATGTGTACTTCAAAAGTTCAAGGCAAATTTTAGGTGAGTGAGTTTCATAAAAAAGGCGTTCGCTATTACTTCATAAAAATAGTTCTAACGGAGACAACGAGACATTTTCAGATTCCGACTTGCCGAGCGTCTTCCGGAAATTCGTTGTGCAGAAAAAGCAGTTCCACTTTACATCGACAAATTCACTTTTGCTGAAGAAGGTTTCAAATTGAACAACACCGAATATCAACTTGGTGTCATTTGCCAAGTTCGCGATGGTCCCGCTCAAAAAACATTCATAGGCCAAGCTCAATATGGCGGTCATCCTAGGGATATCGATCGGTTTGGATACGAGATTCGATCCTTTACGGAATTAACTCCTGGGGATATTTTTGTTCAAGATTACAATCCTCAAATGGATGCGGACGACGATTTGGAGTTTGAAACTACGGAAGAATCATTATTGATTCAACAGAACAGACTGATAGCTCTGGAAAAAGAAAAAATCGAGCTTGAACATGCACCAGAGGAGGTTGAAAATATTCCAGAAAATCCAATGGAACTAGATTTATCGGAGGAGGATTTAATAGGAATAGAACCAGAGGAGGAGGATGATTTAATGGATCCAGATCAGGTCGAAAGAGGAAGAGACCAGGTTTTAAGTCGTAAAGAACAACTCGAGAAAATCAATATAAGCATCATATATGCAAAAACGTTGTTGGCGTATATTGAATTTGATTTGGAGCGTAATCGGCGTAAGCGAGATAACCTTCCATCTCTATTTGACTTTTTCATTCAGGTAATTATGCTAACTTTATGCGCTCCATGGGGAAATCCATGAGTGAATGATTTTGTGGCAAAAATTTTTGGAAAGTAGATGTACAAATTTACATATAAAGAACAAAACATTTAAGCTCGATCCATACTATCTTTTGTAATGTAGACGAAGTGCTCTGTTGTTTTCTAATGTTTCTTATTTTCAGTTCACGAAGACTTCTCCAGATGGTACCGTCTACATCGAACGGTTCAATTACGATAAGAGTTTGATGGCGGCACGGAAATATTTGATCTGCAAATTACTCGGGAATCGTAAACCGGTTATGAAAATCAAATCGCTCGGTTTCTGGGCGCGACCAGGGGGCGGACTAGTTATTAGTCTTCCAGAAGGTATCAAGTTAGACGTTCAAAATTTCGGTACTTCTGGAAACCTGTCGGATGTTTTAGAACGTGTCGAACCTGTCCTGGAGTATCCAAACCGCCCGTTTAATCTTCTTACATCAGATAGTTTGAGATTGGAAGATGCTCAAAATCCGAAAGTTCAGAATGCTGAAGTTTTGGTGTTGTCCGACAACTGGGATGTCGATTATATTGCACTATGTCGTGAAGTACAGAATAAAAACATTGTGATTTTTTTGGGCCAAGAGATGCAGCCATTGGAGTATGGACTACTCGTCGAGGACTTGATCGAGACAAAGGGGACAGTTGGGACATTTTATGAAATCACTCAGACGGGAGAGGATAAAACGAAAGAGGCGATGAGATTTATTGCAGCGCATTTTGAGAACGTTGTTATGAGAGAGAGGTTAGTCTTGAAGTGATTTTCGAAATGTTTAAAGGAGGCGAGACAGCAAAAATTTCGGGGGCAGTTCGGGGGACAAAATCGCGCCGCGCTTATGTAGACCATCGGTCGTCAGGCGCCTTCGCGCCCCCGTAGCTCAGCCGGTAGCGGCGCTGTACCCCTGAGCTGACTGTCATGAGTTCAACCCTTCATGGGGGTTCTCTATGCAAAATATCAGGAAACTTTTAGTTCCATAGGTTTCATTATAATTCTGATTTTTTTTTTCGGTTTTCAAGATTGTTCTTATTTTCCAGCCTCATCATCATTCCACTTTCTCACCAACTGCAACTTAATGTTTCCTGCGAACCATATCTGATGGATCCGAGCCTTGTTCATTTATGGACTATGAAAATGGAAGTGGTTCAAAATCAGAAAAATTAAACTGGACTCAACATTTGTTTCAACTTTCACATTTTTCTGTGCACCAATCTCATATTGCTTTTTATCGTTTTTTTTGGAAATTAATAAATAGAATCAATCAAAAAAAAGAAGACCCAAAAAACAAAATTTCCCGGGAGAAATCCTAATTTGGGGACTTTGTCACATCATTTGTTTTTTTCCCGAGAGCACATTCCACGTTTGACATGACAATGTGTATCTCTCAAGGACGAATTGCTCATTGTTCTGTATGTCTGGACCATAATTACTGTATGGATCTGATTCTCACGTCTTGTTTGTGTATAACCTCTCTACAACATCTATTGTTTTTTGAAGATATATTGATTTTTCGTTACTATTCAAATCTTCGATTATTTTTTTTTTGATGCGCTCAATGTTGCGTTGCAGGGGGATGGAGCATTCTACTCTCCGTCATAACCATCGTTTGTGCCTCATTCTCTTCTTCTACCTCACCCAAGATCATCTTAATCGTTTGAAATTTACAGACCTTGAACAATGTCATCAGACATCCCTGATTCTGACAGGAAATTATCATATGACTGTTTGAAATGTGTAACTCAAAAATTCGAAGCGAATTTCAGGTGAGTGTGTTCATAAAGCGTTTCCTATGAATTCATAGGAATATTTCTGACGGAAACAACGAGACATTTCCAGATTCCGACTTGCCGAGGGTCTTCCAAAAATTCAATGGGCCGATAAAGCCGTTCCTCTTTTTATCTCCAAACTCACGATTTGTGAAGAAGGCCACAAATTGAACGACACCGATTACCGACTTGGTGTCATTTGCCATACTTGCAATGGTTATGCTCCCAAAACAATCATATGCGGAAATCAATATGGTCATCTAAGAGATATCGATAGGTTTCGATTTGAGAAGCGTTTATTTCCGGAGTTTACACCTGGAGATATTTTTGTTCAAGATTTCAATCCACAAAGGGGTGTGGACGATGATCTTGAGCTTGCGATTACGGAAGCATCATTCATGATGGAACATGACAGACTTACTGCTTTAGAAAAAGTAAAAATCGAGCTGGAACATGTCTCAGATGGGGTTGAAAATATTCCGAAGAAAATGGAATAAATCCAAAACAGAGTTTCAATGGAAATAAAACCAAAGAAAAATTATTATTTAATGGATCCAGATCAGCTCGACAGTCGCGAAGACCAACTCAAGAAAATCAATATAAGCATTCAAGATGCGAAAAAATCGTTGGCGCGTTTTAAATTTAATTTGAGACGTCATTGGTGTAAACGAGATAACCTTCCATTAACATATGCTTTAACTGCTTTATTTTTAAATTTTTTTGTGATACAGACGAAGTGCTCTGTTGTTTTTTAATGTTTCTTATTTCCAGTTCACCAAGGTTTTTTCAGATGGTACTGTCCACATCGAACGTTTTAATTACGATAAGAGTTTGATGGAAGCATGGAGATATCTGATTTGCAAAACTCTCGGAAATCGTAAATCGATTAATAAAATAGAATCGCTCGGCTTCCAGGCGCAGAAACATGACGGACTAGTCGTTTGTCTTCCAGAAGGTATCAAGTTAAATGTTAGAAATTTTGCAACTTCTGGAAACCTCTCGGAAGTTTTACAACGTGTCGAACCTATGTTGGAGTCCCCAAACCGCCCGTTTGGTCGTCTGACATCGGATGGTTTAAGATTGGAAGATGCTCATAATCCGAAAGTTTAGAATGCTGAAGTTTTGCAGTTGTGCGACAGCTGGGATGTCAATTATATTGCACTATGTCGTGAAATACAGAATAAGAAAATTGTGATATCTTTGGGCCAACAGATGCAGCCAGAGCAGTATGGAGTACTTGTTCAGAACTTGATCGACGCAAAGGGGACACTTGGGACATACTATGACATCACTCAACCGGGTGAAAAGGAAACGAGGATAGGGATGAGAGTTATTTCAAACCGTTACGATAACGCTGTTATGGGGGAGAGGTAATAGTTTCTTCGCTTGGCTCGCACCTTGAAAATGAAAACAGGACACATTTGCCAACTAACTGAACATTGCTCATAAATAATTTTAGATTTCGTCAGATTTCTGATATATATATTCTGACTTTTGAAATTTCTATGTTTTCAGACTCGTCATCATTCCACTTTCTCACCAACTGCAACTTAATGTTTCCTGTGAACCATATCTAATGAATCCGAGACATCATTTGAGGACCATGAAAATTGAAGTGGTTCAAATCCAGGCGAACTAGATTGGACTTGAAATTTTTTTTCAACTTTTACATGTTTCTGAACACTTATCGCAGATAATTTTTTTCGCATTTTTTTTTAAACAATTCAAACTTTTGTTGTTTTTCAAAATATATGCTTTATCGTTTTTAGCATAATTTAGTTTGCATATTTCACTATAAATTTGATGCTTAAATTCTGGACCTAAAGAGTGGAACTGTTTCATTCCCAAACTCACAGATTGAACATTTCAGTTAGAAGACCGTATTTTTCGTTCCCTAATTCGATTTTTCCCAAGAGCAAATTTCTTGTTTGACCAGACGGTGTGTATCTCTCAGGGAGCATTGCTCATTTGTCTTCTTGACGTGACCGTAATGAATGTATGACTCTGATTCTCACGTCTTGTTTATTTAGACGTCTCAACCGGCAACGTCTACTGATTTATCGTTACTAATCCCACCTCTTTGATTTTTCCAAATTTTTGGGCTCTTTTCTAGTTTAGAGGTCCCAAAAAAATTTAGAGGTCCGAAAAAAAATTAGAGGTCCCAAAATAAAATAGAGGTCCCAAAAAAAATTAGAGGTCCCAAAAAAGTTTAGAGGTCCCAAGAAAAAATAGAGGTCCAAAATACGAAAAACGCGCAGATGTTGGAATAATGTACTAGTATTTGAACTGTGCGAGTAGTTTGAGTTTTAGGGTCTTATAGGATGACATGACTACTCCTAACAATTTTAGCTCCAATTCTCTCGCATCTTGCCGATGAACCCAATTTACATATGAGGAAAATTTGGGCAATACAGTAATCACTCCGTGATTATGCTGTCTCTCAGGCTTAGATAATTGTCAGAAAATATGCATTCCCAAGCCTATTAGAAGTATAAAATATATCATCAACAATTATTTTGCTATAAGACCTCAAAACTTTAAATTCTTACACAATTCAAATTTTAATACATTATTTCGGTATCTGTGCATTTTTAAGTTTTGGACCACTATTTTTTCTTGGGACCACTAAACTTTTTTGGGACCTCTAATTTTATTTGGGACCTCTATTTTATTTTGGGACCTCTAATTTTTTTTCGGACCTCTATTCTTTTTGGGACCTCTAAACTAGAAAAGAGCCAATTTTTGTATCCTAATTCAATTTTTCCCAAGAGCAAATTGCTCGGATTGACCTGGCAATGTGTAGCCGTTGAAATTTTTTTTACCAGATGATGTTCAAAAAAGAAAAATACTAACACACAGGATCGTTATACACACAGAGAAGAAAATTGGTTTGAAATCAAAACTTACAGTAAGTAAAAATATAATATGGCTATGCTAAATGATATTTTTACAGAAAAATGTATCAGAAAAGCTTTATGTAGCAATAATCAGTAATCAATTGAACAGGGTTTATTCTTATACGCTTACCGATCAATTCATAATTCTTTGCACATATTTCTATAACTTTTCAAAAAGTTATTGTTCGTGTTATATAAGAATTTGGACTAGTGAAACTATGAATCCCGAATAATCCCAATACAAACAAAAATTTTTTTTTGTTAAAGAAAAAAAACGAGCAGAGATGCAAAGATACATCAAAGGAAATGTCGAAAAACGGAGCAAACCACAAGAATGTGTTTCAATGTTTTTTGTTCCCCTTTTTTCGTTTTTTTTTTCGAAAACCAATCAAATTTCAAACAGATACTTCATTCATCATTTCCCCGAAAACTGTGGAAAAACCTAAAAATAGAATTTAAATGTTGCGATTTGATCTTCTCTCGTCATTGAATTCTGATTCGGCGTGGTGAATAAAAATTATAAACCCCGTGTAGTCATTTCAGTTTCGTTTTGGTTTTCGACTTCTCCCGATTTCAGTTCACTCTCGTCAGTTTGCTACATACACCTTTCGTTAGTCATCTATGTAGTGTTCAACACAAAACATTGCCATAAAAGTATCATCACATGGTATAAATACATATGGAACAGAAAAGAGTTGTCTGCATAGTGTCAGCTTTCTCAATTATTTATCATCCTCGTTTCTTGTGTTTTTTCACTTCACTAGTTTTACTCGTTTATTCTGAGGCTTAGTTCTTTGAAAAAAAAAAGGAAGTTGCCCAAGGGCAAAGAAGTATCTAGAACATTTACTCAGAGCAATTGAGGTTCCCCAAACGCATTGAACCAAAATTTTGAGCCTGATATTCTCCCTGAACACGATTTTCAAAGTAAAAGTTTCCAACAAAAACACTCCTTGATGACCAGAATAAAACTTTGAGCCAAAAAAATTTCATTAACGTTTCTTCCTTTCCCTTTCCATTCAATTCTCATTTTACGTTGAGTTTCCGTTCTCTTCGAAACTCCTTTGGGAATTCAAATTTTTTTGGAATTCGCTGCTTTTTTACCTCCTTTTGGCTTCGAATTTCCCTCTTTTTGACCTTATTTTTGTCCAAATGAATTCTCTTCTCTGAGAAACCCTATTTTGCTTTTCCTTTTTTCTGACCACTGCGTTCACATCGTCGTCCATTTTCCATTAAACCCATGAAAGCAAGTAGAGGGTCAAATGGAACGCATTTGGAACGAAAAATAAGGCTCAGGCCTTTTCAATTTTCCTACCAAAAGAATGGGGTTTTTAATTTTGTGCAGCTGCACACGCCTCAAGCAATCTTAGATTTATTGGGAAAAAAAAAGATTTGGATATGGAATTTTATTTTGCCCAGTTCCTTCAACGCTTTTTTTTTGCATTTCTTGATTTTCAGACATATCTAAGACTTTAAGATTCAAAACGCTTAGAGAAGTAGTTGTGCTGGAAGGAAAACAAGAATTTAGTGTGTTTTTTCTTCGTTCCAGTTCACTTTTTTTTATGCATTGGCATATGTGCGATGAGCATTATTTATGTTACAACAACAGCCCAGCCGCTCTCATATTTCACTTTTTCGAGAACTTTTCCACATATTTTTTCTTTCATTTCCTAGTTCCGTTTTACCGGAAATCTATTCTAAATGTTGAAATTGATAAATAGTATAAATCTCTGAATTACCGGTGTTCTGAATCCACATTTATACACTACTGGTTAATAAAATATACAAAAACGGGGTTTTCGGTTGATTTTCGGCCAATTTGACTATTTTCAGAAGTCTGGAGCTCGGCTGTCAATTTTTAACCACTTTGTAAATTTTGGATGGTGTAAAGCAGAATTTGATTAAAAACTTTCAATTTACAGAATTTTGTAGAAATCCCTAGTTTTTGAGCTATTTTTCGATTTCTGATGGACACTTTTTTTGGCCAGTTTTTGAACTGAAAACATGGAAGAAGTGCATTTCAAGAATCGGAAAATATCTGAAAAATATGTTTTTTCAATGAATTCTGAAAATGCAAATTTTTCAATCAAGTTATGTTTCAAACATTTCATAAATTTCAAAGTGATCCGACACTTGACAGAAATGCTTTGGATTCCTGGAAATAGCTAAAAATCTACTGAAAACCAATTTTTGTATATCTTATATCTTATTGAGCGGGTACTGTAAATCAAGTAAGATGAAATCCAAAAATTAATTTTTGGAAATATTGAAACTTCATTCTTTTCTGTTTTCACCATCTAAATAATCATAATAAAATCTTGTTTCCAGGGTTCTTATACTACTAGCCGATCTACAAGAAGCTATCGAAATTCTTGGCCAACACAATATGTTCATCTTTGCTGCAGTAAGTGTTCAAATTGTTCTCATTTCTCCACCTGACTTTGCCCTTATGATCTGATCAAACAATTGGTTCTTCTTCCTCTGTTGCCCTCGTGTGCGCTATGTTTATCTCTTTGCGGGTGTCTGGCTCTTTCCAGATAAACTTTTCTCACTATTTTCACAATCTGACTCTAATCTGAACGTGTTGTTTTCTATTCTCTTTTGGGTGGACACCGATTTGCATGTATTATCCTTTGTGGAGAATGACTAAGACCAAATCACGTCAACTCTTTTATTCTCTCTGTTTTGTTCCCTGTTTTTGATGATTCGTTTGAAAGTCAAATTTGAAAATGTTGTTTTATGACTTCCTGAATTTGTTTCCAATATGACATGAATATACATTTTTCTTTCATTCATCATATTTTTTCTAAACATCAAATTGCCATCATCACTAATCTCACCACATATTCGAAGCAAAACAGAGTCTTATCAAAGTGTGCCCCCTTTTGAATACCAAATGTGAGGCAGGAACAGCAGATACTCAATTAGAATTCCTCCATGTGCTCTTTCCTAATACGCGCACCTCCTCTCATTCCTTTTTCTGCCTTCCTGTCTCTTCCTATCTCTGCTTTTGATACTCGTTTACATGTGTGTTCATCTTTCCTATTCTATAAAACTTTTCCATAGAAAAAAGATTTGAACCACAAAAAGAAACGCAATCTATACCTCGATTGGTTCGCTTTTGCCTGCTTGCTTTTCATTCTATTTGTCACCCCAAAAAAAATCTGCTGCGTGCTACCCGTCTCTTTCTCTTTCGGGCTCCCAGTGCAAACGTTTATACCCACTGGGTAGAGTGGAAGTTGAAGAAATGATATTCTAGAATATTCTTTTTACCATTTTCGTGTGTCATTAAGGATATATGTTCTAGGCTCACTCCGTATTTCTTCTTCTGTGTTGAAAAACAAACCCGAAACTTTCGAAAATATCTGTTCGTTTTTTTCTTTTTTTCGTTCATGTGATTGTGTTTCTCTTTCCTGTGCCGTTCTGTTCTCGTTTCTCACTTGTTGCATATTCATAGAACGTGAGTTCTTCCTCCTCTGACATGCTACGTCACATTTGTTCTCTCAATTTTTTTCGGAGGTTTCTTCTGTAAAACACCGTGTTAAGTAAACTGTTGCATTTTAGAAAATACCATAAAACCTGTAATAGAAGGGCCTCCATGATGCCAAGTCTCAGCTTAATTATCTCTGCTCCTATTCCAACTGGACATATCTCTACTCCTACTCCAACTGGAACCGAGATAAATAAGCTCAAAGTTGAATGTTAGGCGGCCTTTCTATTACAGGTTTTACGGTAATCAAATATTATAGGTGCATCATTATTTTAAAATGTTCCTTTTCTTCCACAGGTTCCAACAACAACCAAAAATTCTTTAGAGATCTTATTTAAAAAAAAAACTCAAACGTTGCGTTTCCTTCTGTTTACTTGACACACGCACTTGCCTCATCACACTTGAGCAAGTACAGCTGTTCCCAAACAGCGAGCACCCTCTTTTTTTTCAGCGAAAGTATGTGTCATTTCTCTACCAGTGTGTTGTCTCTGTCTCTCCCAGTTTCCAGCGGTTCATCAATCATTGAAGCAAAGGTCGTCGCGAAATGTTGCGATTTCAAAAAAGTTGACTTTTTCCCATTTTTGAACTACTTTTTTACTTCAGTCGGAAATTTTCTAGAAGGTATTTCTTTTCAAAAAAAAAAAACATCGGTATTTTTTTTTGGTGTTTTTTTCAAATGCGATAAGATACGCTCCAAGAACTGTGTTGCCGTTTAGACACTTATCTTTTTTACAATTTTTCTCATCAAATTTCTTTGATTAGAGAAGACACCTTTGAATTGGTACTGACATTTTTGAAATGATTTGTTTGATCCCAACTCTTTTAAGGCATTTTGAGCTTTTCCAATCTTCAACACACTTTAAATAAATTGAATCTCATTCAAAAATCAAATTTCCAAAATTAGAAACTACTCAATCATTGTTTTCTGATAATTTTCTCTTATTTCATTTTCTCTTTCTCACGATTTCTCTCTCTCTTCTTCAAAATTGTTCTTATCTTATTTTCCTGATTAGTCACCACCTCATGTCCGTACAGACAACGAATGCGTTCTCTGAATGTTTCATTTCTTTCGCAGCACTTTTTCGGGCGCACGCGCGAATGAGACATGTGTTTAGGTTACCATAAAAATTTCTCTGCTATTTCTCAATTTTCGAAATTTAGAGAGTCTATTGTTTTTCAGCCTACTGATTGTTGTTTAAATTCCTAAATCTTTTCTATCACTTTCTGAAGTAAAGCATTTGTACAATGTTTCAGGCATTTCAACAGAACACTCTCATAATGAGTACCACTGCCGCGGAACAGCCTGTTCTGGAGGTGCTCAATCAAAATGCGGATAAACCGAAGAAAAAGTTCCAAGTTGTACCAGTCCCAGGAGAGTTCACTCGTGGGAGATGGAAAGTGATTGATACCAGATTCGGATCTGCAATGGGAAGTGAGCGTAATTTCGAATGGGTTTGTTAATGATTAGTGTAAAATATGTAGGGAGTGACTGTTGCGCATCCTTAGACATGAAAGCCCAACATATGGGAATCTTTCAAAATGTTCGTGATTTAAAAGTTTTGTATGTTGATTTGAATATACGATTTCTAGAGAAAAAGCACCCCTAATTTTTGGAAACCTGTACTTTGATTTCACCTACTTTGAAACAAAATCCCCCATAATCCCCCATAACAAAATCCCCCATAGAACATTCACATCATTCTTTCAGAACGTTTCGATTTCTGCTTATAGTTTTTTTGAGCATCACATTATTGGCGCAAAAGTTGTCAGACAATTTTTCGTCGATAACTGATATTACCTGAACAATGAATCCACGAAAATGAACCAAAACGCTACAAAAAACATAGGTAAAAAACTGGATTTCATAAATAAAAATCATTTTTCCGTACAAAATTATAATTTCGAAGGCAATTTTGGTGACTTAGAACATGTTTCGAACATTTTATGCGTATTTGAAAAATTTTCCCTGTGGAATATTTTTTCAGTTCAAAATTCGAGTTCAGTTATGAGCTACCAGAGCTCACGAATGCCTTGAACAATCGTAACAGAAAAATGAGCATCCTTAAGATGTTTCCTATCAATTTCAGCTTAAAATCTTACCCAGGAGCAAAGTTATTAACGATGTATTCCAAAAAACCCTGAAAATGTCAAAAATGTCTGAAAATAATTTTTCTACAATTTGAATAGAGACGTCATTTTTGTGTAGACTGTTTTAAGACTATTTTAAAAGTTCTTAACAAAAATTATTCAATTATTTCCTATGAAAAAAGTGAGATTTTTCATTTTTCAAGGGGATGCTATCATTATGACGCGGTGTGCAAAGTGACTGTTGGTTACTGTAGCGACTGGTACTTGATTCTGGGGACACATAAATTTTTTGATATGCTGAATCGAATGGCATTAGCCGTTTTTCAGTTTTCAAGTTTTTCTGACAACTTCAAAAAATGTGGTGCTGCTATCATTATGTCGCGCACTGTAGTTATACTTTACTGCATCTCCTACCAACCTCAAATTGAACACTTTTTGCAATTTTCAAACTTTCAGAGGCAACTTTCAGATGCTTTTAAAAAGTAGGTTTGCAGTCATCACTAGCTTGAATTTTCTATAAAACTAAAGTTTGATTTCTTTGACATAAAATTGGAAAATAGATAATGGTGAAAAGGGTTGATGCACTTGTTTTGCAACTGAAAAAAATTTGCGAAAAACTGTGTAGTTTTTAGATTGCTAGAATACAGAGAATAAAACCAAAACCTTCTTATAATTCGTAATTGTTGACCATTCTTTAGAGTCTATGTCGGGTGCATTTTGTCACTATGAAAGGTTTGAGACATATCAGACAGTTTATTGAGTAAAATTTTGCCAAAACTTTTCAGCAACCTTATTTTTCCTAGGTGGATTACGAAAATTGTCCTTAAGCAGCAGCTGTCAAAATCTCATATTCAGTACCGGTCGATAAGATATTTAATAACGTGTTTTTCAGTTGATTTTGACAATTTTCAGGAGTCTGGAGCTTGGCTGTCAAGTCTCCGCTCAGTTTGAAAATTTTGGAGGGTGTAAAAGAGACCTAGATGGAAAACTGGGCTCTTTTCTAGTTTAGAGGTCCCAAAAAAGAATAGAGGTCCGAAAAAAAATTAGAGGTCCCAAAATAAAATAGAGGTCCCAAAAAAAATTAGAGGTCCTAAAAAAGTTTTGTGGTCCCAAGAAAAAATAGTGGTCCAAAACTTAAAAATGCACAGATACCGGAATAGTACTAAAATTTGAATTGTGTAAGAATTTAAAGTTTTGAGGTCTTATAGCAAAATAATTGTTGATGATATATTTTATACTTCTAATAGGCTTAGGAATGCATATTTTCTGACAATTATCTAAGCCTGAGAGACAGCATAATCACGGAGTGATTACTGTATTGCCCAAATTTTCCTCATATGTAAATTGGGTTCATCGGCAAGATGCGAGAGAATTGGAGCTAAAATTGTTAGGAGTAGTCATGTCATCCTATAAGACCCTAAAACTCAAACTACTCGCACAGTTCAAATACTAGTACATTATTCCAACATCTGCGCGTTTTTCGTATTTTGGACCTCTATTTTTTCTTGGGACCTCTAAACTTTTTTGGGACCTCTAAACTAGAAAAGAGCCGAAAACTGTTCATTTATAAAATTTTGGAAGATTCCTAGATTTCTGTTTGCCGATTTTAGAAAGAACAAAAATGTTTCCTGAAAATCGGCGGATAGCTGAAAAACATGGATTTTTTAAAAAACTCTGGCAAGCTTTCCAATCGCGGTCTGTTTCACACTCCCCAAAATTTTCAAAGTGATTGGAAACTTGACAGCCAAGCTCCAGACTCTTGAAAATGCCGAAAATCAACTGGAAACTAATTTTGTATACCTGATAGACCGAAAATGTATCGTAAACACTTCAACTCAAACCCCATTTACCTTTTAACCGTTCACTTTGATGCTGTTTTTCAATTTCTGTAAAAAATATAAAAAAGTATTTAATCGACAAAATTTTCATTTGGCTATGAAAAATATTCAGTTTACCACTTTTTGATATCTCTCACACAGACTGAATTAAATTTGCTCAATTTTAATGATTAGATGGCATTTAATTAATGGGTTCATTTCCTCTGCCCCAATTTTGGTTGTTCATCGGTTTTCTTTTTTTCATTAATTTCTTTATATTTTCAGTATTTGGAAACTATCCACCGGAAGATGAGTACAAAATGATTTCTGTGGTCCGGAACAATGTGATCACTGTGCGAAAAAAGTTCCGACGTCATCCACCCCTTCCAGAAGACGCAACAACAAAAGAAGCAGACAGCATTCGAGTTCTTCAAAAGAGCCAGCCACGGTGAGTGGGTTAACTTGGGCGCGAGAGCAGCTAATCCAAATCCAAATCAGAGCAATCACGTCTCATGATGTGTGCGCGTGAGTAGAGGAGTGAGAAATAAGCAAAAACGCCTCTGGAGAATTGACGAGGAGATGAAAAGGCGGTGGACTTCCGTTTGGAAAAACACGCCCACCAAAAACTAAATTTCAGATTTTTCTTCTTTTTTTTCAGCTTTTTGTTTGCTAGTTTTCCACTTCTTTTAGGCTAGATGTATTATCGTAGTATTATTGATTGAACTAAAGAATCTTTGTGTCATTAAAAAACTGCGAACCGCCCATGTCTCCGTAGAAAAATATAATAATAAATCACTATCTTTAATGATCTCAGAGCGTTGTTAGCGTCGTACCCACCCCAACGAATGACATTCATTTGCGCATAGTAAGTCGTAAATTATTCACCCAATGAAATCACATTAATGCCCAAAAAACCTATCAGTCGCATTGACCTTAAAAACACGTCCAAAAACGCCTCACGAATCCCCCCATTCGTTTATTCGAATTGTTTTCTCCACCACTTTGATTCCTGTCATTTTGATTTTGGCCCAATTACCTTTGCAAAATCATGTTAATGTAAGTAATACCTACTAGCTTCACTCACAAAAAATTTGTTTTTGTTTTTTGCTGTGTTTTTTTTTCCTTTTGCTTTTTTATTTACGACGTGGGGCCACGCTTCCTTTCTGTCATATATTCACTGAAAGGGGAGGTCCCAAAAAATAGAAAAATAAAGAAAAATAAAGTGAACACTAGAGAGAGAAAAAATAAAGTGAACACTAGAGAAAGATGACTAGAGAAAATCGTGTTTTTGTGGTGCTTCTTATTTTCCCATACCCATCCGAGTTCGAATTCTCTACAAACATGCCATGACATAGACAGAAAAAAAACTAGGTTGCATGTGTGGCGACTGAGTTTCCTTTTTTTTTGGCATGCCCACATGATCTCGATCCCGGAGCACTGGCTAGACCACCCACATGAGAATTGTGTTACTCGCTGAGTTTCAATATTTTTTCAGTTTCTCTGCGAGCCATGAAGCTTAACCACATGTTATTTGAGTTAATTAAAAGTTGTCTGCCTCAAGTGATAGTGCATTTCCCTTGTTGATCACACGGCTGCGCGTCACTCATACACCTGAACGAACTTCGAAGCTTTTCGTAGAATCTCTCATCATTTTTCCCATTTCGATTGTCCCCAAATCGTTTCACCCAAAAATTTATGATCCGAAAAACTGAAGGGGAAGGTGTGGAATGCCTTGGTGATCAAAAAGCAGATTGAAATAGCTGTTAAACGGTTTCGCTTCCGGTTTTCTTTCTGAAAAATCTAAAAATACATTTTCAAAAATACCATCTATTTTTTTTTCTTGGAACATGGAAGAATCGTTCCCTGTTGGTAGAAAACCTCCGTAATTTATCCATCTCCTTTAGAATCCACACATGCATTATCCCTTTATTTTTCATAAGATTGACGTCTTTGTGTTCTCAAAAAAATCTCAAAGGAAAAAGCATCCACCTGCTCTGAGCCGCGTGGATTACGGGTTTCTATGGCGCTTTTCTCCTTTTGATGCCAAGATTCCGCATCGTCTCGTGCTGTTATTTTTCGCTTCTCATCCCTTCTTCCAGTTTTCCTTTTTTCATTCTGGCGGCTTCTTTTTTTTCCGACGGAATGGGACCATGTTTAGACAAAAAAATTAAGGGAGTCCAGAAAAAAATTCCATTGTGTGTTTATTCTACATTTTTGTTGCCCCTTTTTGGTTAGTTAACATCTCATTTCCGTTTTGTATGTTTTTTCTGTATACACAATAATAATCAATATGAGCACCCTGAAAATATAGCTCGAAGAAGGAGTGGCGGCAGTGAAAAAAGTTATATCCCATATCTCTATTTTTCTCATGTTGCTGCTCAGGCGCAATTTTTGTGCTTTTTGAGTCAATGTATGTAGAGCTCGCGCTTAATACATTATGGCTTTTTGATAGGATAGTGAGGAATTAGAAAAAAAGGAGTAGGTCGAAAATGCAGTAGCAGAAGTAGTTGTAGAAGTAATAAAAGTCAATATTGGTGAAGGCCAGCCTTCTTTTTTTTGCCTCATCTTCCGTGCTTAGCCAGAGCTCCTTAGAGCTCCCTCCTTGTCTATCGCTCCTGTCCATCCCAAGCCTCTCCCCCAGCCGTTTTTCGGTGTCTCCCTCAGTTCTCACGTTGCGAAAAAAGAAGAAAAACGGGGTAGCGAGAAGTGGAAACACGGAGGCCTTTGAGGTCTCCTCTGGCGCGAAATAACCAATTTCTTCTTCCCCTCCCCTCTTCTTGCATTTTCTCTCCAGCTCAAGTGAGAGTGTGAGAAAAAAGGGGATGATGTCCACTCTCACACACTAAACGTTTCATTTTACAGCCTCGATCAGGTTCCAGTCACCAACCAGATTAAAATTCTCATCATGGACCCGGAGACCGCGGCCGTCACTGCTCAAAAGCTAGCTGCCAATGCAGTTGGGGTTACAGAAGTGGTTAGTTTTGATAATTTTTCATATCCATGGGGTGGTACTGAACATTTTTGAGAAGGCTCAAAGTTGTTCTCTCAATTGGCCTCCAACCACCCAGCGGCGGCAGCTCTTGAACGAAACACTAATGATCATTAAACAACATGGAGTACAACCAGACATCTGGGAGGAAACACGTTAATAGGTTCTTTCCGTTATTTAGTAGGGCTCACTGTTCGGATTAAGAAGCTATTTTTTTTTGGGCAATGTCGGAAACTCCATTAGTGGATGGTGTCAGCGTTTGCTCAGGATATATGATTCTTTCAAAATTGTAGGAAAAGGGATCGTCCTAGTAATTAGCCTTGTTTAAATATGAATGATATGAAACGTAAAAGTTCGAAAAATAAAATAATTCCAGGTGGGAACTTTCTTTAAAGACGGTATTGTAAAAATGAGAAGTTCGTTGAACTTAGAAAAAACAATGGTTATTTTCCAAGGTCCAGGTCATAGACACATACTTAATCCACTCGAAAAGTTTTCGTGAATTTAAGTTTTATTAAATGACCGTAAGATGATTTGCCAAATTGAAATGATTACTGTAAAAATATAAAATAAAAATGAAGCTTCATCATGGAAAAACTTTGTTATAAAAATCGTTCCGTATTCCCTTTAATTATAGCCCACCCAATATACGCTCAATCATCTTGATTGCGATGGAAGATATCAAACAAAAAAATTTTCAACAGATAAATTGTTGATTATAATGTCACCAATATTTTATCAATTGACAAATTGTTGATAAATTTTACCGGAATTGAGATATTTGAGTTTAACGTTGGCAGTTTTGGTAGGCGTCTAATAGAACAAATACGGGATCACTTGAAAGCGTAGTTCCCCGGCTTCGATTTTCATTAAAACTCACAGTGGTCCCATTTTGAAGGTTTTTGAAAAACAATTTTTTTGAGTTCAAGAGGAAAAAATCTGAAACAGCTGTAAAGGTATTGTATGTCAAAAATTATAATATCTCTTTCAATTTTCCTGAATATAACAGCTCATAATATTTTTTGAGGGACAAGTGACCGATATTCAATACAAATAAGTCAACCAAATTCAGAAATAGAATTATTTTCTGAAATCTTGAATTCGATTAAAATTTATCGATTTTTAAAAACAATTCTAGATTATAAACATCTGATTATTTACAATTTTGCAATATGATAATTTTCGTCTACATACATAGAAAATAATAGAACCAAAGGTTTCATCTGCTCAGATTGTTAATTCCGATTGTAAACAACTGGGTAGCATCACAGAGTAGGTTCACAGAAATCCGACACTTATGTATTTATCATTTATCACATGTCACTTAAAGCGTTAAGATGCACCAAGAACAATTCTGACAACTTCATGGTGATACAATACAAGATTTTCCAACAGAAACTTTCCTCACAATTCTTTTCTTTTTCCGTATCGCACAATCATCAAGTAGTACTTTACCAATTAGTACCCTTGGCGGGACCATCTCCTCAAAAACTTCATAGATTAAGTTGATTGCACTTTTAAAACAAAGCTCTTCTCTGGAGCACAAAACAAAATTACACTCACTATCTATCTCTCGTATAGGTCAGTGGGAAATCCTCGTTTCTTCTGTGCTCGTCAATAGAATAAAAAGCGCGTGTTGTGAAGAAGCCATCAGTTGTGACATTGGTCCCATTTTGCTGCACGATGTAATGAAAGAAGCGTGTCTGCATTTTTAATTCTAGACTATTTTGCTCCAATCAAAACATTTCTTTTTGATTTCAGGTTGCTCCAACGAGTGATATCACTTCATCCATGTCGTCTGTGACTCTTCTCGACACTGATCCAGCCAAGATGGACGAGACGGCAAAGCTGGCGAACGCAACCAGCAACACTGTGGTCGCTATTGATAACAAGATTGTGCAGGCCATGGATTTGGTCAAAACTCATCTCACTTTTGCTGTTCGTGAGGAGGTCGAGTGTTTGAGATCTACTATCACTGATTTGGAGGAAAGAGTAAGCATATTTGGACCGTTCGTATAGAACTTGAAATTTTCAGCTCAACGCTCTTCGTGAGGAAAACCGTCTGTTGCGCGAAAATGTCTCTCCAGACGTTTTGGCCTTCATCACTGCCAACAAGCAAATTGTCGAATAATGGTTAGTAGAAAAATGGGACTGTATAACTTTCATGGAAGTTAGATGTCTGAGTACCAAATGGATAATGAATTAATGGCTCTTGCATGAATCATCTATTTAGATATTTGATTACGAAGAATTCAAACGCATGATTAAAAATTGTGATCCCCCGCAGTTTCCAATTATATGGTTCCAATCTAACTTTTATATTTTCAGGTCTCTTCAATTCACAAAAACATTCCATGTGATTTCCGCCCGCCCGTACTTTTTCCGCCCGCCCGTACTTCCCGAGCACCCCCACGCCACCCCCGTCTGAAAGCATCAAATTTTGAAAAAAAAATTTATTCCCCTCCACACGATAATCTTTTTTCTTCTCCTGAGTTCATTTTTTCTGTTTTTCTTTCTGTAAATTCTCGCATTGATGATACAGCTTGAAGAGCTTATCTCCGAAACTGAATTCATCCTGTTTAATATTATTTCTCCTCTCTCGCATACTTTGTACAATGGTTATCCCCATGGAAACTGAAATAAACCTTCCCTTGCCCCACTTTACCTTTTCATTTTTTTTTGAATCTAGCATTGTGTCTTTTGAGTTTAAAATATTGAAAATTCCGATCTGAAAGGGGTTTCCTTACCAAATGAATCACATGATCAGTCACATGTTATAAAAATTTACTAGAGAAAAATGTCTCGAAAACACTCATGGCCATGTAATTAAACTTTTTATCGTTTTGTACTACCAGGATAGTAGGACTGAATTTTTAATTAAATTGGGGTACATTTTGTCAAAAATGAAAGCAACTCACAGGAAATGAGGTATTCTTGACATTTCAATTATTGAAAATGATTTTCAAAAATTATTAAACTGCATACGTTGTTCCGAGTTTGGATTACGCTTTGAGAGAGAGAGAGAGAGAGATAAAGGCACAACCTCAAACCGTTTGCTAAGGATGAAATGATAAGAATTGGTTTTGGACTTTCAGGGGAACTTGTTTTTAATATCAAAACACATACGGTAAATGCCCACATGTAAAATTCTTAAGAGACCATCTCTGAGAAACTCGAAAACATGGCAATGGAAAAAATCAAAATGGTCCTAGAAATCTGATATTGTATATGGTGGGTATAAGGGCTATTCTTATACTTTTGACCATAGTACCCATAGCCCACGACTCTCTCCTGGGCGCGGTGACATACCGTAACCCTGAAAAATTATTTTTGTTCAAAATAATGATATCGACTCAAGTGTTTTTGATTTGAGTTTCTGGTTCAATTTGATCATTTTTTGTGTTGGGACAAATTTTCTACACTTACCCTGAAGTAGAGAAAATTTTACTTTTTTTGTATTTTTTTCACTTTTTCGAAATTTCTCGAAAATTTTCCACTGGTCCAAAAATCAAACCCTAATAGTTCGATACTGTGAACCTGTCTACACGTTAATATCATAATGTCATAAAAAATCCAACGCCCTTAAAAGGATTTCAGTCGAAAAAGTGCGAAAACACCATGTACATGGTAACTAAAATTCGCCCAAAATCGACCACCTCCAATTTTGACCAAACTTGTCCCAGTTGTAGTATTTTTGATGGATAGTATCCTGGCAACGTTTTAAAATTCGTTCTCATCGTCATCGTACATTTTCAGAAGCTCCAAAAAAGCTTTAAAGTCCATTTTCAGTGAAAAACTAAGGGTCGCAAAAATGCATGAAGACAATGAGAACGAATCTTGAAACTTTGCCAAAATACTACTCATTTAAAATACTACATCTGGTATAAATTTGGTCAAAATTGGAGGTGGTCGATTTTGGGCGAATTTTAGTTACCATGTACATGGGTTTTTCGCAATTTTTCGACTAAACCCCTTTTAAGGGAAGCGGATTTTTTATGGCACTATGGTTTTACCGTGTAGGCAGGTTCACAGTATCAAACTACCAGAGTTTGATTTTTGGATCAGTGGAAATTTTTCGAGAAATTTCGAAAAAAGTGAAAAAAAATTCGAAAAAGTGAAAAAATACAAAAAAAAAGTAAATTTTTTTCTACTTCAGGGCAACTGTAGAAAATTGGTCCCATCACAAAAAATGATCAAAAATAGGCCAGTTCACTTTCGATTTCTCCGAGAAATACCAAAAATGTACAAATTACGAGAATTTTGTTGATAATATGACAAGTAGTTTATCAGTTCTGCCTTTTTTAATGAATCGAGATTAATTATCTCAAAGTGCAATGAAAGGTTAGTATTTTTTTTGAGTCCCTTTTTGTGGTTATTGTTTCCCAATATGCAGATAAAATCATCCTTTTCAGTGCCGACCTTTTTCAGTGAGCACGATCGTTTTTCGAATGGACCAGAATAATCCAATTATTGACGTTGAAATGGAGAAAAGGCCATCAATTATTCAAAAAAAAGATACAGAAAAGGATAATAATTGCAGCTGATGCTCTCTATTGAATGCATTTCACTTTTTTTCTGAAACTCACATGGCGATAGTCAATTATTTTAATTGTCTTGAATTATAGCCTACTGTAGTATTTATGAAAGTAATGCACTCTGAAATTGAAAAAAGAGACTATTAAAAGAATAAAGGCTCCTGAAATAATACTTTTAAAATCATTGTTGGTAATTTTTTTAAAAAGTTTCAAATCAGAGTGGTCTCTTTTCCTGTTTAGGATCTCCTATTTTTTCAGAAGTTCCTCAAATTTTTTAGGATTCCTGAACTGAAATATTGCCTTTTTTCGATCTCCAGATTACACTACTGCTAGAAACAATACCGTAGCCTTCAATTGTTGATAATTGAGACAACTGAATAATGGCATGTGAGTTCCAGAGAAAATGTGAGGAGCGTTAAATTGAGAGCATCCGTTGCAATATATTTTTTTTTCAATTTCAGTGTCCCTCGGATTTCTTGTGACCTCTAAACTGGAACAGAGCCAAGAAAGATTCCTAACAATTATTGCCCAATTTTCTATTGTTGTATCTTTAATGAGTTTTGCGCTATATAAGTATTTACTCTGAGCAATTAGTGCTTTAGGGCGTGGTGCACGTCTCTAATCTTTTTAAAAATTTTCTGGATGAATATTGTAACTGTGTTTTTAATGTTATGAGCTACATTTCATCACCGTTCAAGCTGAAATATTTTAATTTTTTTCGTACTTCCCGCAGGAATTTCTGAAAAATGTTAACCCAATTCTAATTTTTTTTCAGTTTTCAGTAACTTAATTTCCCAACAAACAATACCCATATTTGGAATTTATTTTCCTCACACAAGTCAGCCTAAAAAATCAATTAATTTTCCGCCTGACTTTCCCCAGTAATACTAACTCCCAAGAATCTATTTTTGTATTTTGTCCAATTACTTGTTTTCGAAAGTTAATGGCAAAGACGCCTGTCCTGAAAAAACGTGGTATCATGTTTCCTTTTGAAAAAAAAAAGAAGAATAACTGATCATTTGATTCCCAAAGGTATTCCCTCACAAGTACTCTGTAATTTCAACTACTAACTTTAGTCTTCACCACTTTTTATTGCAGATAACTAACGAGTTTTTTTTCTACCGTCTCTGACTTTCGATTCTTTCAAGGTCATTTAATTTTCATATCTCCCGTTTTGCAATTCAGTGCCGAACAAATGTTTCTTTTGTTTTTACCCTTTCCTTGTTTCTTTTCTAAGTTTCTTCTTTTCTGGCCAATCACGTCGACAATGTTCTTTTCTCGACCACAACAGGCCAAGAACCACTCTATTTTTTTTTCACCTTCCTTTCAACCAAAAAGTGTTTCCTTCCCTTTGGAAGTTTTCGTTTCCTTCCTTTTTTGAACACTCTCACTTTTCGCTCTCCCTATAGAATAAACATTCCGATTATGCTTCTTCTCACATAACGCTCTGAGCGTGAATATACAAATTTCCTGCGACGAAACAGTTTTGTTTATCAGTTTTTAAAGTGTGTCCTCATTTTGAAAATGTGCATTCCCAGATTGTTTCGAAGTTCCTTAGCTATTCTGAAAGACCTGTTTTTTTCATGCTTCAGAGCAAAAAAAAAAAGCAAAAAAGGGTGTCTTTCAGTAACCACCCTTGAAATAGATCCCTCGGAAACACCCCCTTCATCAAAATCTTAGGTGTCTCAAAGACATCCCTATCAGTGACTGGTATCGAAAAATATACTCTTCCACTAATTTTTATTACTTCAAAAAAAATAGCACCTGTCATTCATTTCCCTGATGCCCGTGCCAGGCTCCACAAGTTATAGTTTCCACTTCTCAACATTTTGATAACAGGGTATTCCCCAATTGTACCTGACAGTTTGTATACAATTTGCCCTCACCTTTCCATCAATTCTCTTTTCTTTCTCTTCATCTCAATACACATATCAGGAGAAGTCAGGTAATATCAAAAGATGCGGATTATTTCCGGCGATAGAGAGGCAACAGCTTATCACGAAAGACACATTTTCATCGAATTTGCAATTTTTGATGGTTTGAATAGAACCTGATGTTGGCTCTAAGTCGTTTTGATTGGTCAGCAAAGCGAGAGATCACTGTAGAATTTCCAAAGTTTCAGTGGATTTAGACTTTTATACTAATAAAAATTCTATACTATGAAATGTGACTATCCTACTCTATCCTACTTTGAGCAAGGATTTTAGGATTCGAAATCCTGGTTTTTTGATTTTCCAATCTTACACAGTTGGAAACACAAAAAGAAGATCAACTGTTCAACTTGTTTTTTTCACCATATCACATCAGTTTGATTAGATAAAACATCAAAATATTTCATCATCTTTTGGGGCTTCCCTCAGTTTCAAAATCGAATTCATCACAGTTTCCATACTGCACGTCCCAAAAAATCTTATCATTATCCACATCAAATGTTTTTTACTTTGAGAATCTGACAAGGCCAAACCATTACATTTTTTTCCCCGAACTCGCTTTGCTACTGTCAAAAGAAAACGAAAAATAATCTATCACTTGAAGTTTGCCCGTCCCTTGCCGTATCTCGCGCCTTGCCGAACATGTACCTAGTTTTTGGTTTCTGACGTAGTTCGTTGAAAACCCTTATACAGTTGTAGTCAATTTTGTTGATGAGGGTAGCTGACTGGACAATTTTTTTCCGTGCGGAGAAAGGAGAGGAGAATGACTGATAAGATGAAAACGGTCAACGATTAGAAGAAGAAGGGGTTTCCTCATTTGCAAAAGATGGAAAGTATAGTGGTGGAAAGAAAGATGATGCAAACAATTTAAAGCAAAAAGTTCGGGAATGCGGAGATAGGAGAAGTTGCGGTTGGGTGGATGTGTACCTGGGAGTGAATATGTTGTTAAAAATTACTGCATTGGTGATGGGTTACTGTAGTTGCAGATGGGTTACTGTATTTCCTTTTGTCTTCTTCACAGACATTGAGAAGTGGATGAGCAATATTTCCAAAGGACATTAAGCTATGATCAGTACCTCTTATTTTTTAGTCCCGCTAGTTTTGCAAATAACAGGTTCTAGAAAAAGTGTTGCGAAATCGCTTTTTTCATTTTTTTGAGTACTAATAAGATCATAATTTTTTCTAATGTTTCCTTCTCCACCTATTAAAGCAATTCCTAGTATTCAGATACTTGCTAATCCCTTTCTGGAAATGATCATTCTTGCGGGACAGTGTTACTAGAAACCCTTGTTAGCTTGAGTGATCCTTTTTACTCCATTTCGTGCCCAATTTATTCTTCAAATCTCGAAACCCAAACGTCAACCGAAATTCGTCACTTGACCTCATTCCTACTCCTGCCATCTCGCATCTCCATCTTCCACTCAAGCCTTATGGCTTGCACTGCACACCAGAATGCGCTCAGCATTCTCTTTTTGCTTGTCGCCTGGATTCAATTCTTCAGTTTTTAATGTATCCTCTCCTCCACCTTCTTGGCTTGAAAATCAATCAAAGCTCATGGATAGAGGGCAGAAGGCAGAGCAAGAAAAGTCTGCGCCATGCATTCTTCTCCGCTTTCTTAATGCATTTTGAGCTTCCCGAGATTGAAGCAAAAATGTTTTCGAGGCACATTCATTTGCATTCCAGGCTGTTTTTGACTTTATGAGATTGCAAAAAACATGCATTTCCATTTAACGAGTCGCAAAGTGCCTTGATTATCAGTTTATTTAGTTGGGAAGCACTCGGCAGTTTCCGAGAAAGAATATTTTGATTAGGAGTCAGATTTTTTGTAAATACTTCAGTAAGACACGTATAAAACTTTGAGTTTCTTACAGTGCCGGTCATAAATATATGGAAAAATGTGTTTTTAAGTTGATTTTGACCATTTTCAGGAGTCTGGAGCCCGGCTGCCAAGAGTCGGATCACTTTGAAAATTTTGAAAATTTTAAAACAGACCTAGATTGGAAACTTTGCATTTACAGAATTTTTCGAAAGTTCCTAATTTTTCAGTAGTCTGGCGATTTCTGAAGGACACCCATTTTTTCCTATTTTATACTGAAAATTTGAAAAAAGAAAGTGTCTTTCAGAAATCGGCAAATAACTGAAAAACTAGGAATTTTCAAAATGTTCTGTGAATGCAAAATTTTTAATCTAGGTTTGTTTTATAATTTCCAAAATTTTCAAAGTGATCCGACACTTGACATCCGAGCTTTAGACTTGTGAAAATGGTCAAAATCAACTCGATTTATCATATATCTTCCGCCGACACTGTATTCGTAATGACAAACCGTTTGTTCGCCGGCACACGTTGTTTGAAATAACTTATTTTCCCCTATTAACTTCTCAACAAACTTCTGAAGCACCAGAAAATCATTCATCGAACACTCAGTACCTAATTCATACTGTAAACCTGCATTCCATCTCGTGTTCTTCAAGTTCGGTCATGCGATCGGACTTCCTATCTGATCTTTTCGTCATCAACGTATTCCCCCGTCTTCCCAATCCCTGCCCCCTGTAGCCCTGCCAACCCCTTCTCGACATTTCTTTTCTCCGTCTCTTCTGTCTTAGTAAAGAAACTAATTTGATATTGTTGTTCATGAACACATTCTATAATATAGGCAATCTGCTACTCGGAAAGCCGCCACAAAAACCAAATCCCCCGAACAGGAGTGTCGTTTGGCGACAGCAGGCGCAATGGCGAGCGCGTTGGCGACGGCCATCCATCGTTTCGTGTGTTCTTTTCCTTTTTATTCTCTCCCCTCTCACCCTTTCCTCGTCCTCTGTCTTCGTGCTTCCCCACACACAAACACCACTTCTCATTCTTTTTCTACGGTTAGATGCAAAATTTTGCAGTATCGTTGAATCGGAGAAAAAAGAGGAAAAGGAAGACTGCCCCGCCGAAAAACACGCATTCAATCTTACATTTAGTTTAAATTGGCAGCGCGCCTAATAGGGAAAAAACTGTGATACGCTTTTGATGAAAGTTAGTAACATTCCTTCTCCTCTTTTTTCTTACTCTTCTTCTCTACTCTTCTTTACTCCCATTCAATGTTTATCTTTTTCTCCTCCTTGGGTGCTGTAAACAATCAAACTGTGCTCGCCAGTGCAGATGATAAAGGTCGCGTGGTCGAAAGGGGTATTCCCTCAAAAAGATCAGGTTGATAAAAAATCAGAGACGTCAGTCGTGTTGTACCCCCGGGGTATACGGTCACATGTTTCCTTTTTTCTCTTTCTCGAATGTTTTTTCAAATAGTTTTCTGGATTCCTCTCTTTTTCGAACAGAGAGGGGAAAGACCTCATTGTCAGATAGAGATTCCGCCTCTTTCCTTTTAGTTGAGTTAACAGGACATAGGCCTTTCATTTCTTTTGATTTCGTTCATCTCGTCTATACTTTCTCTTTTTTCTCCTCTCAATATCTTAAACATTTCTTTGATTTTCAGTGTCCCATAGGGTAATAATGGTGGATCCACGCCCAATGCTTGAAAATGTCCGCGACTTGGCAGGCGAAGCAGCTCGTCATCAGCTCCGTTTTGCTAGACAAGCAGCAATCCGTAGTGGACTCTACTTGCCACCACTGCCAGTGCCACACTTACTCTTTCCAAACCTCAACCATGCTCCAGAAGCGGACCATCGTCAGGATCTGTTGGCAGAACTTCGTGTTGAGAATTTCCGTATGCAGCAACAGCATTTGAATGAAGCTGAGAACAACGACTACCGTCCAATGTCTCCAGAAAACAGCGACAATGAAGATGACGAGGTGATGGAGGCTCATCAGAGACAGCGTCGGATGAGACGTCACTGGAGAAACTACATGCATCAGAGAGTCGATCCAATTCCACAAGGAATCATCGATCGCCTGATGGAGGAACTTGAGAGAGAGGCGCGTCGTCCACTTCAGAATCGTCAGAACCAGAACAATAACAATAACAACAATGTTAACAACAACAACAACGGAAACTACCGTAACTTCAATGGAATGCTCTCTCCGCTACCATCTCCAGGAGGATCGCCACCGGAGTCTGAAGATGAGGAGGAACCAGAGGATCAAGCAAGAGCCGCCGATGCTGATGTTGAAATGTTGAATGTGCAGTTCATGGAAATGCAACCAAATCAGGCACGATCACGCAAGCGCCAAAACTCCAAGGCACCAGTTGCCATTAAGAAGAAGAGAGTCACTTTCAAGAGTGAGTCGGCAGATGAGGTTAGTGTTCATGAAATAATCTACAGTTTTGAATACAATAATTTCCAGGCTGCTTACTCTGACGACGATGACATCTATGACAATATTCCAAAAGTTGCAGTTTACCAAAAACGTAAGTACTTGTAAACCTGAGTCGTATAATCTAAATTATTAAATTTCCAGAAAACGAAGATGACGATGAGGGATTCTTCGGAGGACCATCTCGTCGGCAACAAAACATCCGCTGCGCTTGAACTTTCGGTTTCAATATATATAATTTCTGTATTTTCTTTTTTTCCACATTTCTCAAATTCTCTCCTTAACACGCATACCGGTGTTCAGGAAATCAATTTTCTGAACCATCGCTCCCGAACAATAGTTGTCATCTCTTTTTTTTCTTCTATTATTTTTCTCCCTTCATGACATTTTTTTCCAATTTCCAGTTTTACGATTTCCTGTCATGTCCTTTGAACCCTTTCATCCCTATTTTTCACCCCTTCACAGCACTTCCACACAACCAGTGAAGATCTCTTTTCAAATTCAAATTCATGACTTTAGTAGTCAATTGATTTGAGCACGCATTTTAAACTTCTCAACAACCCCTAAAATACAAAAAAAAACAAATTGCTTCTTTGCTTTATTAGCTTCATAACTTGCAAAACTTGATTGTAATCTATATATTTTGGCTTCAATAAAAATTCGAAAAAAAAAAACAAATTTTGGAATAATCGGGACTGGAAAGTGAATAACCGACAAGTGAACAGAAGGAATGTTGGGTATACCGGGAACAATTCTTGTTTCTTGGTTTAATAGAACTGCTCAATATGATCAATTGGTCTCTGTGTGGTGTAGGACAGATAGCTATTCCAGAAGAATGCGACGACCTGGAGAAAAATAACAAAATTGATATCAAATATTTTGCAGCAGTGTTCAAAGTACAAACTATGCAATTCTGATTTCTACAGTGTCCCGAAAGCTTACCTGGTTTAGAATGACTCTATAATTCAAAGGTATGAAACACAAGTTGACGACTTGGACCAATGGCCATATCTGGAAAATAAGTTTGGGCACTAGAAATATATGGTTATCACCTAATTTAATGACATTTTTTGATTCTTTATGTTTTTACGGTCTCACGATTATATAACGGTCACACGAAACAAATGAATTCGATTTCATGGTCCCTATATTGAGAATATTACGGACCTTTGAAAAAATAGCGGTCCAGTGGAAGAATTCACGGTCTCATCCAAAATCGTACGTTTTGATGAAAAGTTTTGGCCTTTCGAGCTACAGACAGACTCATGCAAAAAAGTTTGTATTTCGGAATTCAAAATTAACTGGTTCATGAGACCGTTTTTTTATGATTGGACCGCAACTTTTTTATAGATTCGTAAAAGTCATGAAGAGCTTGTATTTCTTATTACTTGTCTTTTGAGATATCATTCATTTTTAGAATGTTATGAGGTTCACTCTCAGACTTTCAGATTTTTTAATTTTTCGTGTGAAATGATGGTTAGTTCAAAAATTCGACAACACAACTGATAGGAAAATTTCCAATAATATCTAAACCTATTCAATTTTTTCAGTTTCACAAAATTTATGCTAACTGCAAAACTCCATGTCCGGCTCGCACATTATTCATTTCCGTTCACCTATTATCCAGTTTTCACAAGTCTTATTTCCTTTCATTCTAACTTCTTGCAGTTTTATTTTTTGCCCTTTTCGACAGTTTCTTCTTTTATTGTCAGAAGCTGGCTCTAGTGAGCTCTAAACTTTATGAAGCCTTGCTACATTACCGCGATACCGCGACAATTAGCCGTAGACTGTTTTTGCATTCCAATTTGCTGATTTTCTAACGAAGACGTCTATCCGATGTATGAAACGAAAAAGGTCGAGGGCAAAGAAAAAAGCCTTGTTGACGGCAACGCACATTATCAGACTTTTAGCTATTCTTTTCGTTTCTTATTCAACGTTTTTTGCTGATGGAAACAAGAGCAAAGTTTGTTACTTTTGGGAGAAAGAGGAAAAAGCAAAAAAAGAAATAGAGAAGGACTACTGTGAGTATTAAAGTAGTACCCCCAGCCAACAGAAGAAATTGTGAAAATTGCCTACATACTTCCCCACCGTTTCTGAATCAATTTCAAATTAATATTCCTCCAAACAATATCTTCAACAAAATCTAGACATCAAAGAAATCCTGACCGTCCATATTCTGTTTTTTATACCTTCAAACTGGTGGCGTAGATGTTCAACCAATCTTCCTTCAATAGTTCACATGACTTTCCAATGGATTGATGTTGTAAAAATCGCAGATTAAATATAATTGCCGCGTTGAAAAGGGGACTAAAACATAGCTGAAATGAATGAAAAAAAATGACTGTATCGTTTAATATTCGCGGAATAATACCTGATCTATACATAGTTTTTTGGCCAACAGCAGCGTTCTACTGCCTCCCTTCACTTTTTCCAACACACGAAACCATATAAATAGCGTTGGAGCCTTAAGGAAAATCATTATGCACAAGTCGTTTGGTTGATCAGATTCACCATGAAACAGCTGGAAAGGAACGAAAATCTCGCCGTTCTCCATTTATCCCATCCTTTGTTATTTGACATGTATTGTGCAAAGCAGTCTCCACATCCGCTAATTGTTCCTGCAAAAACTATGAATTGGGCCCAACTCTTTGTTTATTGCTCTGAAAATGTCTAATTCGTTTTATTGTGTTGTGTATAAGATATATCATAAGAGGCGCCAGAGGTTGTGTTGGCGTCTTTGATGTGTTTTTGGGAGCGAGTAGCTACACTCTTGTTTGAACGTTTTACAGTATCATCTCAGAAAACAGAGATAGTTTAAATAGAAAATCGATGAAATCTGTCATTGAACTTGTTTTCTAATGAGCAAACATCATAATTAAGTTCATTGCTCAATAGTTCATATCAGTTGTTCACTCGTTTTACATTATTCGTCGTTTTTTAATTATCATTTTTAGCCCAATAACCACAAGAGTGCAGGTCGAAACCTATTGGCTAGCAAAGAATAGTCAGCAAAATATCAAATCACGTTTTGAAAACCTGAGTTGTGATTTGTACATGTGGAAAAGTGCCTAGATTGTTTTGACATATTTCAACTATGAAGCGAATTTCAGCGGAGCCAAGAAGCTGTCTAGCTCGAAACTTGCGTTGTAATATTCTGGTTGCTAATTGAAAACGCTAAATTGTGCCAAAAGATGTCGGTATATTTTCAGAAAAGTTTTTAGGCTGACCGAAATAGGATTCTCCCACTCCTAAGAAACCGCTAGCACTTTGGTACTTAGATTTCGGTCGCACGAGTTTGATTTTATACACTAATATAGCAAAATTCTCATAAGGCTTGACAATTTAGACGGTATTCAGTCGTTCTAGATCTTTCCAACTCAGCATAAGCTTATTATATCTTCAGAAATATGCGTGTAACATGAGTATTCATGAAATGTGACAATTTTTTAAGTTCTTCTTGATTTTTACACTCACCAGCTATGCACATCTGTGTTGGCAGCGGTCTTGTGGCGAGTTGACGTTGAAAAAAACGCAATATCCTCATGGCACACTAATTAAATTGTGTTCTTGTACATTCAGTCATGTTCCAATATGAATTCCTTCTTTGATAATTGAGAAAATGCGTTTTCCATCTCACACGTACGTGAAAACCGCTAATTTCTCGGACACCAAAGTTCATTTTCAACGATTTTATCCATACAGCGCATTTACCTCGCGTGGCCGCGGCCGTCTGGCCTAGGAGTCTCCTCAGCGGAACAGACGTGTATGTGTTTTGTGTGTACGCGCGGAACGATTCTTTGTGTGCGCGCGCAACGGCCACTGTCCCTTTATCTCTCTGCAGACGACCCCATTTTCTTTGTTTGTGGACTGTCGGGTTATCGATTTTCTAACGTCTGCGCGTCGCGTTGCCTTGCAGTTTTTCCTTGCAATTTTCCTTTAAAAAAGTGCGCAATTTTTGAAATATTAAAATAAGGTTATAGAAATAATCAGTTTCTTAAAATTTTAGCTATTAGAAACACGCAAAAACAAGAGTGGCTAAATTTTTTCTAATATTTTGTTTTGTATAGGCCTCGTTCTCTATCTCGGTCGCTTTCTCATGTTCTTTTCTCATTATCAAAATCACTAATTTTCAGGATAACACCATCATCCTACAACAATGCCTGGTCGAATCGATCTGAGCAACAATGCGTCCGTGCGAATGATCAGTCTTAATGTGGACAATTTGGCGTGCGCTTACCTGGCCAATCTCTACATTCCAATTTTCACACTGGACACTGAGAAGGTTTTGCGGCGTTACGAGGTGCCGAATCAAATTTCCGGACTCCATTTCAGCATGAACAAAAAGAGTAAGTTTATAATAAGCATTGATGGTAATTAAAGAATAATTTCCAGATGTGATCTATGCTGTCGACGACTCATTCGGTCTTCACGTATTCGACGTTCGCACCGACACCAAGAAGAAGCACCGCCTGAACCCAGAGTGCGAAAACCATAACGTGGTGTGCACGGCGCTTTCGTCGAATAATGAGATGATCGCTGTAGCCAGTTCGGAGTTTGGTGGTGGAATCCTCGATGTGCGTGGATCCCGACGACGTGAACATCATGCTCATGTCATCTCGTTGTATGACGCTCGGTATCCAACAGATCCAATCACCAGCTACTACGTAAGTTTTCGTTGAGATTTGGAAACAGAAACAATAGAAAACTGTTCGATACTAACAGCTGACGGGGTCAACAGTGTATCAAGAGCCATTAATCCTCGTAGAAAAAGATAAATAGAAATGGACGTGTCTGCCTGAGATTTGCTAGCCCCATACTACCAGTTTTGTATGTCAGCTCTGGGGACTATTCGTAACAAGTACTGAGAAAGAAATGGACAGGACTTCACGGAACGGCTACCCCAAGTTTCTCAAAAGTTTATTTACCGTCTCAGCACCTAGAGTAGCTAGAACCTAAATGAAAAACGTTAACAATAAAGCAGCACCTAATCTCATTGACGTAGGACCCTTGTTCGAAGAATCCTCAACTGCGCTTGAGCTGCCATGCACACATTATTCTAGAGAATTGTCCATGTGGACGAGAGCCTGGAAAGATGTGCAAAAATTTTTAAAAAAGTATGACCAAACAAAAAAATCGCAGCTCATTTTTCTTCTAAAATGGTCACAACACCAAGAGACAATGGCTTTCAAGCAACTGGTTCAAATTTTGGACATTTCGCCTGCTCGTAGAGCGACCTTGCTACTCTAGCGGAAGCAAAAACGCCACATGGGCTGTATTTTAAGAAAAAAAAAATACTTAAAAGAACTCACTGTCTTATTCTCAAGTAGATTCGTTTTTGAAATCAATTAATATTTAAAATCAGATAAATTTAGAAGAATCATACTAGAAAACGAGAAAAACCAGAAATACGAACAAATAACTACCTTTCTGTCGTACAATTAATTACTGCATTAATTATATTTGCAAATTAGGTCCCGTGTAATTCAACACAGATAATCTCACTAGAGCGAGTTTGCTTGCCTACTTTTGCGCAGTGTTAATCTGAATTGAATTAACCCAAAGCGACACAATGCAAAAAATACAAAACATTCAGAAAGTTCAAAAAACATTTTTGATTCAATAGCCATATTCAAAATATTTCAGAAACGACACAAGGCCAGTGTGACCAGCATGGAATTTTATCTCAACGGCAACTACCTCATCACCGGAGACAACGATGGAGCTATCAAGTCGTTTGATTGCTCACTTCGTGACGAGGACAATGCCATTCGATGGGAACGTTGGGTCAAAGGACCGATCTCAAAAGTTGGAGTCATCAACAAGAGAATTGTCTATGGAGTGAGCAACCGTTCCGAGGGAACTGTCTTTGTCGATGCCAAGGGATCACTGGAAGTTCTCTACGGTAGTGTGAACAATAGTGCAGATGAGCCAATTGTGAAGCATTCCAAGTAAGTTTGCTTTGTACTTTGCGAGTTTATAACTAATCTACTTTCAGGGCATTCTTCAAGAAGCCAGAATGGTGTGTGGGACTTATCAAAGGGGTCACAGATGACATTCCACTAGTAGCTGTTCATGGAGTTGAGAAGAAGAAATTCGTGAGTGTTACGAAATCGGTGGACCTGGAATAGTTTGTTCTTTTCCAGATTTCGCTGACCGCAATGAACCAAGAAGGTGTTCGTCAGGATACACCGCTTCTATCCTATACAGGACACACTGGAGAGGTCAAATGCATGACAGCTACACCGAATCTTCTTTTGACGGGAGGAGAGGACGGCAAAGTTGTTGTTCAAATTGCGAACTTCAAGTGAGTTAGAAAAAATCAGGAATTTGAAAAGAATAGTCCTCTCAAGATGAGCAAGGTTGCCAAGACGCACATTCATTGACTCGTCTGGCCACTGAAGTTTAAAATATCTTGTAAATTATGTTCACGCTGTCTAAAAGATATCACCAGTCGGGATTTCCGACGACCTATGAAATTTCAATTTTTCTGTAAAATTCAAAACGAACATTGGTTGTTACGAGATGGCGGACGTTCTCAATCCAATTCCACATTTTCATTTTTCAAAATCAGTCTATTTCAGGAATCCAAAGTTTGGCGAGGACAATTTGCCATCACACCATCGCTTGACACTTCGTCGTGGAAAATTGGCTGAACAGGCAGACAGAGGGGAAAGCGGCGATAGTGATTCTGCTGGAAGTGATTTAGACTCTGACAGCAACAATCCAAGCACTTCTGCTGCGGCATCCTCTTCCAAATCAAAGTCATCCTCTTCTTCTTCAAAAGAAAAGACGGAAGCTTCATCGAAGCCCAAGAAGGACGAGAAGGAGAAAAAAGAAAAGAAAGAGAAAAAGAAGGATCAACCTTTGATTTCTTCAGCCGGTGCTTCGTCCTCTTCGACTTCTAAGCCAACTGCCGAATCTTCTTCGAAATCTGAATCAGATAAAAAGAAAGAACAGAAGGAGAAGGAGAAGGAAAAAGAGCGTAAGGAGCGAAAGGAGAAGAAGGAAAAAGGTGATCAGTCTTCGACTTCATCTACTACTGCTGTCGCTTCTTCCTCGTCATCATCGTCCCGCCATGAGACCAAGGAGGAACGTCGTGCTCGTAAAGAAAAAGAAGCTGCCGAGGAGAAAGCCAAGCTTGATGCAAAGCTTGCAGCGATGACCGCGGAAGAGAGAAAAGCTTGGGATGAGCGTGAAAAGAGAAGATTGGCGAAGCTAGCTGAAACTCCAGAACAACGTGCTGAGCGCAAGCAGAAGGCTCGTGAAGAACGTGAACGTATTGAGAAATTGGAAAAGGAGGAGAGAAGAAAGAAGAGGCGCGAGGAGAAGGAAGCTGCTGCTGGAGCATCGTCTTCCAAGAAATCTAAGACTGAATGAAACACGACAAACACAAAAACTATATTTATCATTGTTGTTTAAATCCATTATTTTTTGTCTTCAGCGTTCATCCTTTTCTTTATAAGTATTTCCAATTTTTGGCGAGCTCCGAAAATTGGTGTCTTGGTTTTACGGTTTTCCTACCATGGTTCTTTTTTTTAACACATCTTACACAGCCCAGTCTATCCCATTCATTCCCAGTTCTACTCTTAGTATGACTTGATCTCAAGTTCCCTAAACTATTTTACTTCCATGCCCATACCTCTTCTTTCCATCCTGATTTTGTTGAATGATTTCATTAACTGTTCAGCAGCTAACTTTTTCCCTTTTTAAGATTGGTGCCCCAACAACTTATATACACTTCATGGATCAAGTTTCATACTGGCATTCGCCGAAAAAGTTTTGGTAACCATTTTTTTTTTAATTTCTCAAACATTACATTCGAATGCTTTTTTGCTGAGAGTCACATCACTCTCAATAAATCCATTTTCTGTGAAATTTTATTTGTTTTCATGTTCAGGGCAGGTTTTACAATTTTCAAAGACCGGAATACCTCTAATAAAGCGTCACAATCAAATTTATCTAATGGTTTTGTAACAGCCGTTTCTTAAATGACTGTCTATTACAACAAAAACGTTTATTGACAGATGAAAAATACAAAAATACGAGAAAGACAAGACTAGAATGTGAGAAAATAGATGAGAAAATGTAAGAAATCGTTAGCAAAAATGAAATTGGATTTTTGTCTGAGATTTGGTGAAAGTGGATATTTTCAAAAAAACAAAACAATTGCTGATGATAGAAATATCAATTCAATTGATAAATCTACTGGTGAGATATATTTGATGGAAGTAACTCTTCAAGGATAATGAATATTTTGATTTCAGTGAAATTATATCCAGTTAGAATGGTTTGAAAAAGATTTTGAAAAAGAATGAATTACGATCTGATTGAAAATCGAAAGCTTTACCAAACTATGTAGAACTGTTGTTTTCGGTCACCGATGGACGACCAGATTCAGCGGTAGAGGGTTGAGATGGAACGGCTGATGAGTTCTGCTGGAATGGCGGATAGAAACAACCAGGGAAGAAGTTATCGAACCCAATTTTCGGTGGAGGAGGTGTGGAGCCGGTGGATTCTCTTCGGGCGCGCTTATGTTGTACGTCTGAAACCAGATTTTTCACAAAAACTGTGTACGATAATAATTCTCACTTTCAGGAAGCATTCCAATATCCACACATCGTTTCATTCTACACGCACGGCAAATTTTCCGATATCCAGTACCATCACGACTAGCGTTTGTACATCTTTGATTTCGTTTGCACACATAGGATTTGTCATCGCTGATGGTCCTTCTGAAAAATGCTGCACACGCGGCACATGTGCGAGCGCCAAAGTGAAGACCATTTGCATGAGTTGAAAGACAGACCTGGCAATCGTGTAGAGAGCCGGGAGGCTGGAATTTCATTTTTTGCCGTTCGTTTTTAGACTTACACAAAAACCAATGAATCATATTATTTTTGTCAAGCGGCGATGACAGGCCGAAAGTTTATTTAAAAGCGCATCGTCGGTCTTGAAGCGAAATCAGCTACGGTTTTCACGAAAAAAAATTATGAGCCTTTGATACAATACTCTGGAATCATTTTATCTTTGCTTATCTATCTCATATTTTTTGCTTATTCTCTTTCATTTTCTTCAGATTCTGATGAATAATCTGCGGAATTTCTTCATAAAATAGAAAAATATCCAAAAATGGGTCGAAGTGATTCCGAAATACTGTAAAAAAGCTCATAAATTAATCTGTGAGAACCGTAGGCTTCAGCATCATCTCAGAACCGATGATGTGCCTTCAAACAAATTTTCGGCCGCACTGTTCATCACCGTCAGAGAAGAATAATATCTTACCGGGCTCAATTCTGGCTTGAATGTGTTGTTGGTAGCAATGTCTAATGGAGCTACAGGAACTGAATAAAATGTCGGGGTGAACGATGGTAGAGCAGTTCTGAAAGCTTTAAAATAGCTGGAATAATATTTTGCAGTCTCGACCTCGACTGTTCGAATTGTTTATCAGTAGATAGGGATGAATATCGCTGATGGTCTGTCTTGGCTTCGTTCTGCTTCTTGCTATCCAAATTCTCCATTGGCTCATCTTTGACCGCTTTCATTTCGGATCCGCTTTCAAACTTTTCGTCGAGAGACTGTTTGATATTGTATTCCGCTAAAAGAACTGGTGGTTTATCTGGAGTGCTACTAGTAGCTTGAGTCAAAGATGTCTCTTGATATGACTGGAGACTTTCTTTTCCCTTTGCTGTTGAATTAATAGAAGGATGCTGACCATGCTGTGGTGTGTTGAAGTTATCCATTCCCATCATTGGATTATGCATAGCTGGGCTGATTTGGAAACTGTTCCATGCTGGATTGACAAATTGAGGACCGAAAGGAGTCGGGAAAAATGCGTTTCGTTGAAAACCGTTAAACCGTTGGTAATCGGTGAAATCGGGAAATGGTAAACTCGGAACTAAACAGTTAGTTTTATCGGTTTAGTTTATGACAAAAATGTTTCTCACCTATTCTAGGAAAGAAATGTTGCATGAACGGGGCAGTCGTCTGTTGTCGAGCCAAATCATTGTCAAAATCGTGTGATACTGGTTCCCTGACTCTGTGCTGCTCTTCATAATTGAACGGATGCTGGGATCCTGGAGGTCTCCCAGTGAATGGCGGCGGGAACTGTTGCCCCCATTGCTGTTGTCCATTATTGTTTGCTTGCAGGTCAACCTTTTCTGCCATATTTTTTAGTAATGCGACCGTTACATCCGATTCTGATAAAATCATTGGATAACAAGTGAAATGTGGCATTGCCATGATACAATTGATACAGTAATACCCGAGCATTCCTTTATTCATTCCGGTGCCGTAAATATCACAAGCCAGTTCTGAATGTGTACACAAGTTAAAGAGTACTATGACTTTCAACGAGAACATCAAGATGAAATCAGAAAGATATAATCGGCTACAAAAACAGAGTAACCAGACTGCACTTTTTAGAAATTCCTACAAAGTGCGTGGTTGTAACGTTAATAAGTAACATTCCTGAATACTGTTGGTTAGAAAGACCATAAAATTCTGGAAATCATAAGATACCGTATAATAATCAGAATTTGGAGTTGAGCGAGGGACAAATAAGAAATGGTTTAAATTGTAGTTTAGGATACAAAAAAATTCTTCTCGATAACATGTGAGATACGTCCCATCTATTTGGAAATTCTTGGAAATTACTCACTATACCGAAATACAAAAAATGAAGATAAACAGAATACGGTGAATGTTTTTGGTCGAATGAGCAATTTTGCTGAGAAAAACTAAAACAACATAGTAAGCCAAAATGTTGAGGTACGAAATTATGGATTTTGACGGGGAAACCAAAGTATGGCTGTGCTAGAGCTCGCTCAGTTAATAATAGTTCTCCAAAATTTCAACTGCCATCCGCTCCAATTTTCCTCAAATAAAAAAGAAATAAAAAAGTTTTATGCCAGAAAAAGAGTTCGAACTTAAAGTGTATAAATGCAGAATAATTATTTAAAAACTAATAAAAGGAAATGTAATTTACCGTAAAACCTGTAATAGGCCCTTCTATTACAGGTTTTACGGTTAATCATTAAATCAGATAATTTATTTGTGTTCAATCCCATTATTTCAACATATTAAAATTGGAAGGACACTGAATCTTATTAATTTTATGAAAAATAATTATTGTGTTGGGAACAATGTTCGAAATAATTGGAAACACACGTAACAATTTTTGTAGGGTAAGACAACTGCCAGTAAATTAAAAATTACTAACCAAGCAGTCAAATTGATAGCCACGATTATCTAGTCACGATATTTCTAATATAGACAGGTTACAACGGCCAAGCTCCCCTACTCAGATCGGCCTCGTGAGGGGCATTTTTTCTGAGTCTTTCATGTCCTGCCCTCTAATGTTTTATTACACCTGATCAATAAACAAATTAAATTAAAGCTGCCACAGGATTTGTATTTAGGTTGATGAGCTCATCCTTAACAGAACAGTCTAATAGGCACAAAACGCTCATGGTCTAGGTCTTCTAAGATAGGTAGGTTACAACAGGTCAGCTGCCTAGGGCTTTTTTGGTTGGTGATTTTTTGAGTTGATTATTGGGTTGGAAGCTGTTTGGCTGCTTTCTTTTTTGGGTATTTGGGCTTACGTCAGTCCATTAAAAACGTTTTAACGTGGCTCCTAATTTAGACAGCAATGGCCACAGGTAAAAATTGAAACCGCATTTTTTAAAAAATTCGACACCTCTGACTTCTCGACTGGACGAAATGTGGACGAATTGTCCAAAGATACTGGAGTAAATTGTGAGATCTCAATACATTTTCTTGTATCTTCCACCCCAATTTCAATTACAATTTCCAGGGTGCCATTTTTGCAGTACTGATACTTCAATTGTTATAGTCACTAACACAAACACAAATCGAACTACGGACTCGTACCACAAACAAAAACCACGGATGAATATATTTATTTGTACAAACAAAAAGTTGTAGGACAATAACTAACATGGAATAAAACTAACCTGGATCCGCGTTGATTTAAGCGATAGATGAGGATTCAAACATATGTTTTTATTGAATCCAAAAGAAGTTGAGAATGAGACGAGGATAACTCGAAAACAAGGAAAAGAAGGTGTGAATGGGCGGAGCTACCGTAGATGGCTGATAGCTTTTAGTGAAGTATGGAGCTTCAGACAGCCAATCATCGGATATGTGTTCCTTGGACTCTGAAGTGAAAGCTTTTAATGGAAAATTGTAAAATTGAATTTTTAATTAATTTTTTCCTCTTTAAATCGGTTCAAATGACGTTTTCCACTCCTAAATCAAACTTGGTAAAACTTTATATAAAACATTAGATTGCACTTTTGGGATGGGCCGAGCCAGGTTTTTTTCACGATTTTCAAAGCCAGTTTTCAGCTTTGTTTCTTTTCTTCTCAAAAAAAAACCGGGATTGATAGAAAAAATGAACCAGTTGTCTGTCAAATAATAAGCTTGCCAAGAACGAATTGCCATTGAAAAGTTATTTTTTAACGAAAAAATGGAAAATTTTTTGGAATTTTATAATTATTTTGTGGTAATCCCAGGGTCGCCGGGTTGGGCCCTGATTTATCAAGAATGTATCATTATGTATATTATTGAAAATTTCGTGAACCTGTTCAAACTTCATTTTTGTGCCAAAGATTCCTCAGTTTTTTTCCAAAATTAAAAAAATTGAAAATGATTAACAGTCAACATTGGCGGAAGTGTCAAAATCCAAAGCGCCGAAGGGGAGGAATCTTTGTCCACATACACTTCATTTCGCTTTTCGATGACACTACACCATTGTTTCATCTGCCTTCTTATTATCCTAATCTCCCAGGTTAATTATATTTTGGCTGAAGATGAGGACCACCCTCCTAGGTAATTGTTTTCTGTGTTTCCCTTCTTTTTTTCCAGCTAAATTGTTTAAAATCGAAGAGTTCGAAGTGTAGCTTTATTCCTTGTATGAAAATCTCCATATCAATTTCATTTACGTGTTATAGGGTAAATGAAGCATCGCGAGACAACTCGGATGTTTGGCTCGTGGTGATTCTGTGCCTGTTGTTCTGTTTCGCCTTACGTCATATGAACGATTTCTATGTTGGTGAATCGGTTAGTGGAATCATTTTGTACTTGCAGGATTCGCTTACTTTAGAAATGATGTTAAGGTAACACTTGTGGCCGAAGGAGAGTTTTCGCATAGATTCAGTCGGAAACAAACCAACAAACATTTGGAACGAGTTGAGAAAGATTTCAATGACATGTTCCAAAAACTATGTGAGAAGTATGAAAGAGATTTGGATTCTGATGGATGTTGTGGCTACTATGAGGAGAAGAAAAAGGTCACTGATAAGTTGGTTTGATAATTTTTTAGAAGTTTTATGAAAACCAAAATATCAAAACGAAATTCCAAATACAACAAAAATTAAATAATAAATTAGTTTCTGTACATTTTTTATTTCAATGGTTCACATTTATCACAATCCGATCTATTTGCTCCGAATTCTTCAATTTGAATTGTGATCTCATGTACATTATATGTCTGCTTTAGCATTTTTCGAGTTTCGCGTAGAATGCTTTGAGATTGACTATTAGAATCAATCTCAAGATGGACGGAGAGGGCAATCTGGAAAACAATTTCGAATAAGTCGCGTAATCCGCTTACTACCTTGTCCATTGTCAAACACCATATTCTCAAGTCATGGACCTTTTTGACGCCTTCAATGTCTTCAAGGGAAGTAAATACTTTTGCAAAGTCAATGTTACTTGGTCTTCCTGAAAAGAAGCAAAAACATATTTAAAGGTGCGAGAGGAACCAAACCTTCTAGAAGAACAATCATTGCATCCCTGAGAATATAAATAGTTGTGCATAACACAATAACTGAGAACAACAACGTACAAATCGGGTCGATTATCACCCATGATGGCTGTAAAAAACAATAGAATTATGGTGGGAATATGTCATTCAAATAATCACTGATAAGAGAAACTACTACAAAACCACCTGACTCACTGGTCAATGTTTGCATCGGGGTTTATAAAAAATTATTTTTCTTCTGAAAAAATCGAGCCTACCTGGAAGTAGATAAAGAGGGCGGCCACCAGAACACCTAAACTTTGCAAAAGGTCACCAAGAACGTGAATAAAAGCGGCTCGGACATTGATATTATTACCATTTCCCCCGTGAGAATGTCCATGGGAATGTGAACTACCGCCTCCGTGAGAATGGGAATGACCACCAAAGTATAAAAGAGCAAGCATTCTGGAAAATTAGATTTAGTGAGACACAGAGGGTTACTGTAATCTCACACTAGGTTCACAACGACTCCTAGAGCAGCAGTTATAGCCATGATTCCACCTTCCACTTCATAATCTCCACTGATAATTCTCATAACAGCAAGAACCACCAGTAGGCCTGTCACTATCCAGATAAGGAAAACTGAGAAGAATGCTCCGAGAACTTCTGAAAATCGAACTTTCTTCCTCATTTTTGTATCCAAGTAGCTATCCAACCAGCTCTATGAAACCCAAAGCTCATTGTTTGTGATGGTGGCCGTCGTGCGATGTATAGAGAGAACAACGAAATGAGCACCGACGCAAAATCAGTGAGCAAATGTGCGGCATCTGTGACAATTGCAAGTGAACCAGCGAGAACACCACCAACAACTTCGCAAACCATAAAAAAGAGACAGAGAGCAACGGTTAGCCATAAAATTCGTGTTGCTGAAACAAGCAAAATTTTAATTGAGGTTCAAGTTGGCCTGTTTTTAGGGTTGTGGAATAAAAAAACTTCAGAAGTTCTAGAATTTTCGAAATCACTCAAGTCTCCTCACCTCGCTGATTGCTGTCATGTGAATCTGTCGACTCTGCTTCATCGTGACAATGGAAATTGTCATATGTCACGGTAGTCTTCCTTCCCTCATCTGTGGCATAAATCAGTGATGCGCTGAAAAAAAAAACGGTTCAATTTCTAAGAACCCGTCCAAAATGCGTCACAGAGGTAAAACAGAACAACTGCGAAAATAAACAACGATTACACCGAAAAAAACTCACCCATTCTCAAGTAGTGGCGCTCGTTCGGAACTCATCATCTCACTGGTTTAGTGGAAGAAATAAGAAGCTCAAAAAGTTGGGTGCTGACTCAAATTGGAAGAAACTAAATATTGTAGTATCGTGTACAACAACGTGCCAGGGGCTACGCAGAATCGAGCAACTAGTATATGCCCGTGTTATCAATTAGAGAGAGGAATAGATTATGCAGGTTGAAGAGACAAAGAGAACCCCAAGACGTTTGTTATCAATCAGAAACTAGAGCATGTCTTGAGACATCATACCATCTGTGGGTGGTGGGTCATTTGAATGTGTCTGTATGCCATTGAGAAGAGTTTAACTTCCGATATTTTGAAACTGTACATTCTGCTTTGAGCTCGAACCAAAAAACGAGTAGATTGGAAATCAGTTTTTTTCGCTATCAGGAAAATGTATAATTCGAGGTATCGGAACACAAGAAGGAAACGAACAAATTAAATCATTTTATTGGGTTGTTCCAAATAATTTTTTTTGCCGTCTGTTAATTTACGAAGCTGTTCCTGCTAATCTCATCACTTTGAACTCAGTTATTACCAAAAGACTATTATTCCTCTTGAGGCTTCATTTCTCTTCCAGAAAACCATGAAGATCAACCTTAATTGCCTGTACGGGTGGTCTTTTTTGCAATCAATTCCTGAACTTTACACCCGAACACTCATGTGTGCTTCTGTGCTGCTCCAGAGAAAAAAATTGGGGTAAGTGTGTTAATCAGTGACTCGATTCCCCCCTCGTTTTTTCTTATTCTTTTTTTCTTATTTCGTCGGCGAGTGTAGAGAGAAAATAAAGATAAAGATAAGTCTCAAGATAGGTTGGTAATCACTAAAGTGGTTGTGTGGATAAGAGTAGCAAAATGGCAGGAAGAGCACTTTGCGCGCACACACTGTACTCATTGTTCTGGATAAAAGTCTTTGGCTTGTTTACCCGTTGGGATGTCTGTTTCTCCGCATTTAGCAAGCTTTCTAGTCAATCTCCTTGGTCTAACCCAAAATGCCGTTTCTTTTCTCGTATCTCCCCGATATACCAGCGCTACCGATGAGGCTCTCTCTCTCTCGATCTTTCCGCCAACGACTATCCGTGGGGGCGCCCCGGGGAGGGAAAGAGGCATCGGAGAAGATTTTTGCTATTTGCTCTTGAGAAAGAGACTTTTTCCATTACGTCGGGGCCTTATGTGTGTTAGAGAGTGAATTGTGCAGACACTTTCCAGCTACCTAGAATTACAATTGGATTGCCCCGCCCACAAGCAGTTATCCACCCACCCACGGGCAGGGAAAAAGAAGGGCTCGCCGAAAATCAAAGTTATCTCCAGGCTCGCGCATCCCACCGAGCGGTTGACTTCTCTCCACTTTTCATTTTTACCCTCGATCGCCCGACACAGCAATGGATCACGAAAACGACCCAGGATGGAAGTACCTTCGCCGCAGTCGCGAGCAGATGCTCGAGGTATGCTTAAATTTTCCTTTTTTGAACGAGTTTTCTGAACATTTTTCATGATCTTTACAACATAATGCAATTAGAACCTCAAATTTCCGATTTTTCCCATATTTATCGCTCTCATTTCTAGGACCAATCCCGTGCCTATGATTCCAAGAAGAACGTTTGGATTCCGGATGCGGAGGAGGGATACATTGAGGGTATCATCACCAAAACCGCTGGAGAAAACGTTACCGTATCCACTGGACCAGGAGTCGAGGTTTGTCCCTATCTTGCATTTTTTTAATTTTTATTTATTCATTTGTTTTGTAGAAGACAGTCAAGAAGGATATCGTCCAAGAGATGAATCCACCAAAATTCGAGAAAACTGAAGACATGTCCAACTTGACTTTCCTTAACGACGCCTCTGTATTGTACAACTTGAGAGCTCGTTATGCCGCTATGCTCATCTACGTAAGCTACTTTTTATTTCTTTTCATTTCCCTCATGTCCTCTTATTTTTAGACTTATTCGGGTCTTTTCTGTGTTGTCATCAACCCATACAAACGTCTCCCAATTTACACTGATTCCGTTGCTCGCATGTTCATGGGCAAGCGCCGTACCGAAATGCCACCTCACTTGTTCGCCGTTTCTGACGAGGCCTACAGAAACATGCTCCAAAACCATGAAAATCAATCCATGCTCATTACCGGAGAGTCTGGAGCCGGAAAGACTGAGAACACCAAGAAGGTTATCTCCTACTTCGCCGCCGTCGGTGCCGCCCAACAGGAGACTTTCGGAGCCAAGAAGGCCGAGGAAGACAAGGACAAGAAGAAGGTCACTCTTGAGGACCAGATTGTCCAGACCAATCCAGTTCTCGAGGCTTTCGGTAACGCCAAGACTGTCCGTAACAACAACTCATCCCGTTTCGGAAAGTTCATCCGTATCCACTTCTCCAAACAAGGACGTGTCGCTTCTTGCGATATTGAACATTGTGAGTTTATTTATTGAAGTGTGATGAACTACATTTCCCATCTCTTCCAGATCTTCTTGAGAAGTCTCGTGTTATTCGTCAAGCTCCAGGAGAGCGTTGCTACCATATCTTCTACCAAGTCTTCTCTGACTTCGTTCCAACCCTCAAGAAGGATCTCCTTCTCAACAAACCAGTCAAGGACTACTGGTTCATCGCTCAAGCTGAGTTGCAAATCGATGGAGTCAATGACAAGGTAAATCTGAACACCTGAGGATATGATTTATATTAACCAATTCTGATTTCAGGAAGAGCATCAATTGACCGATGAAGCCTTCGATATCCTTAAGTTCTCTCCAACCGAGAAGATGGAGTGCTATCGTTTGGTTGCCGCCATGATGCACATGGGTAACATGAAGTTCAAGCAACGTCCACGTGAAGAGCAAGCCGAGCCAGATGGCACAGATGGTAAGTTACAAGAACACACAGGCGAAAAGAGCAGCGGATTTTTGAGTTCTTGGAAACTTTTCGTTTGTTTACCCAAGATCTCATGAGAGCGTGGGATGTGCGAGGACAGGGCATATTGAGTGGATTTAGCGGCGGCGAAGTTTAAAGTTTACCTATACTCGACTCTTCAATTTTTTGCCTGAGACACTGATTGTGAGATTTTGAGAATAGATTGCAAGAAATCACAAACTATCAAACACAGAAATCATGGAATATAAACTGACACCATTATTTTCAGATGCTGAGAGAGCCGCCAAGTGCTTCGGAATTGACCCCGAGGAGTTCTTGAAGGCTTTGACTCGTCCACGTGTCAAGGTCGGAAACGAATGGGTCAACAAGGGACAAAACATCGAGCAGGTCAACTGGGCCGTCGGGGCCATGGCCAAGGGTCTCTACTCCAGAATCTTCAACTGGCTTGTCAAGAAATGTAACCAGACTCTTGATCAGAAGGGAATCTCCCGTGACTACTTCATCGGAGTACTTGATATCGCCGGATTCGAAATCTTCGACTTCAACTCCTTCGAACAGCTCTGGATTAACTTTGTCAATGAGAAACTCCAACAATTCTTCAACCATCACATGTTCGTTCTTGAGCAGGAAGAGTACGCTCGTGAAGGAATCCAATGGACCTTCATCGATTTCGGTCTTGACTTGCAAGCTTGTATCGAGCTTATTGAGAAGCCACTTGGTATCATTGCTATGCTCGATGAGGAGTGCATTGTGCCAAAGGCCACTGATGCTACTCTTGCTCAGAAGCTCATTGACCAGCATTTGGGCAAGCATCCAAACTTCGAGAAGCCAAAACCACCAAAGGGGAAGCAAGCCGAAGCTCACTTCGCCATGCGGCACTACGCTGGAACTGTCCGTTACAACGTCATGAACTGGCTCGAAAAGAACAAGGACCCTCTCAACGACACCGTGGTTACTGTCATGAAGGCTTCCAAGGAGCACGCTCTTATCGTCGAAGTCTGGCAAGACTACACCACCCAAGAGGAAGCCGCCGCCGCTGCTTCCAAGGGAGGACCAGGAGGAAAGAAGAAGGGAAAGTCTGGATCTTTCATGACTGTTTCTATGCTCTACAGAGAGTCCCTCAACAAGTTGATGACTATGCTCAACGCCACTCATCCACATTTCATCCGTTGCATTATTCCAAACGAGAAGAAGCAGTCCGGAATGATCGATGCCGGTCTTGTTCTCAACCAGCTTACCTGCAACGGAGTGTTGGAAGGAATCAGAATTTGCAGAAAGGGATTCCCGAACAGAACTCTCCATCCAGACTTTGTCCAACGTTACGCTCTTCTCGCTGCCGATGAATCCATCATTGGAAAGACTGACGCCAAGAAGGGATCCGCTTTGATGCTTGCCCGTTTGGTAAAGGAGAAGAAGCTCGAGGAGGACAACTTCAGAGTTGGTCTCACCAAAGTTTTCTTCAAGGCCGGAATCGTCGCTCACTTGGAAGACTTGCGTGACTCCAGACTTGCTCAACTTATCACTGGACTCCAAGCTCAGATCAGATGGTTCTACCAATTGGTGAGTAGCATTCTAGCTGAATATCTAACCTATAATTTTTCTATCTAGATCGAACGCAAGAGACGTGTTGAGAAGATCACCGCTCTCAAGGTCATCCAACGCAACGTCCGCAGCTGGGCTGAACTCCGCACCTGGGTGTGGTTCAAGCTTTACGGCAAGGTCAAGCCACTCATCAACTCTGGAAAGATCGAGGCTCAATATGAGAAGCTTCAAGAGACCGTCGCTACCCTCAAGGACACTGTGGTGCAGGAGGAGGAGAAGAAACGCCAACTCCAAGAGGGTGCTGAACGTCTCAACAAGGAGACGGCTGACCTCTTGGCGCAATTGGAGGCTAGCAAGGGAAGCACCCGTGAAGTCGAGGAGCGTATGACTGCTATGAATGAGCAGAAGGTGGCTCTTGAAGGAAAGCTCGGTGACGCCAACAAGAAGCTCGAAGCCGAGGAGGCCCGCGCTGTTGAGATCAACAAGCAGAAAAAGCTTGTTGAGGCTGAATGCGCTGACTTGAAGAAGAACTGTCAAGATGTTGATCTCTCTTTGAGAAAGGTCGAGGCTGAGAAGAACGCCAAGGAACACCAGATCCGTGCTCTTCAAGATGAAATGAGACAACAGGATGAGAACATCTCCAAGCTCAACAAGGAACGTAAGAACCAAGAGGAGCAGAATAAGAAGCTCACTGAGGACCTCCAAGCTGCTGAGGAGCAGAACTTGGCTGCCAACAAGCTCAAGACTAAGCTCATGCAATCTCTTGAGGACTCCGAGCAAACCATGGAGCGCGAGAAGAGAAACCGTGCTGATATGGACAAGAACAAGAGAAAGGCTGAGGGAGAGCTCAAGATTGCTCAAGAAACGTTGGAAGAGCTCAACAAGTCTAAGAGCGACGCTGAGAATGCCTTGAGACGCAAGGAAACCGAGTTGCACAACTTGGGAATGAAGCTCGAGGATGAGCAAGCTGCTGTTGCCAAGCTCCAGAAGGGAATCCAACAAGACGAGGCCAGAGTCAAGGATCTCCATGATCAACTTGCCGATGAGAAGGACGCCCGCCAACGCGCTGACCGTTCAAGAGCTGATCAACAAGCCGAGTACGATGAGCTCACCGAGCAATTGGAAGACCAATCTCGTGCCACTGCCGCTCAAATTGAGCTCGGAAAGAAGAAGGACGCCGAGCTTACCAAGCTTCGCCGTGACCTTGAAGAGTGTGGACTCAAGTTCGGAGAGCAACTCACCGTTCTCAAGAAGAAGGGATCCGATGCCATCCAAGAGCTCTCTGACCAAATTGAGCAACTCCAGAAGCAAAAGGGAAGAATTGAGAAGGAGAAGGGACACATGCAACGCGAGTTCGATGAGTCCTCCGCTGCTCTCGACCAAGAGGCCAAGCTCCGTGCCGACCAAGAGAGAATTGCCAAGGGACACGAAGTCAGACTTCTCGAGCTCCGCCTCAAAGCTGACGAGCAATCCCGCCAACTTCAAGACTTTGTCTCTTCCAAGGGACGTCTCAACTCCGAGAATTCCGATTTGGCCCGCCAAGTCGAGGAGTTGGAAGCCAAGATCCAAGCCGCCAACCGTCTCAAGCTTCAATTCTCCAACGAATTGGACCACGCCAAGAGACAAGCCGAGGAAGAGTCTCGCGAGAGACAAAACCTCTCCAACTTGTCCAAGAACTTGGCCCGCGAGCTCGAACAGCTCAAAGAGTCCATCGAAGACGAGGTCGCTGGAAAGAACGAGGCTTCCCGCCAACTCGCCAAGGCTTCCGTCGAACTCGACCAATGGAGAACCAAGTTCGAGACCGAAGGACTCATTGGAGCCGACGAGTTCGATGAGGTTAAGAAGCGTCAAAACCAAAAGACTTCCGAGATTCAAGATGCCCTTGATGCCTGCAACGCTAAGATTGTTGCTCTTGAGAATGCCCGTTCCCGCTTGACCGCTGAAGCTGATGCCAACCGTCTCGAGGCCGAGCATCACGCCCAAGCTGTCTCCTCCTTGGAGAAGAAGCAAAAGGCCTTCGATAAGGTCATTGATGAGTGGAAGAAGAAGGTTGATGACCTCTACCTCGAATTGGACGGAGCTCAACGTGATGCTCGCCAACTTTCTGGAGAGGCTCACAAGCTTCGTGGACAACACGACACCCTTGCCGACCAAGTTGAGGGACTCCGTCGTGAGAACAAGGCTCTCAGCGATGAGACCCGTGACCTCACCGAGTCGCTCTCCGAGGGAGGACGTGCGACCCACGCTCTTTCCAAGAACCTCCGCCGTCTTGAAATGGAGAAGGAAGAACTTCAACGTGGATTGGATGAGGCTGAAGCTGCCCTCGAGTCTGAGGAAAGCAAGGCTCTTCGTTGCCAGATCGAAGTCTCCCAAATCCGTGCTGAGATCGAGAAGAGAATTGCCGAGAAGGAAGAGGAGTTCGAAAACCACCGCAAGGTCCATCAACAAACCATCGACAGCATCCAAGCCACTTTGGATTCCGAGACCAAGGCCAAGTCCGAGTTGTTCCGTGTCAAGAAGAAGTTGGAAGCCGACATCAACGAGCTGGAGATCGCTCTCGACCATGCGAACAAAGCGAACGAAGACGCCCAGAAGAACATCAGGTATGTTCATATTAAACTATTTTCAGATTGTAAAAGCTTATATTTTCAGACGCTACTTGGACCAAATCCGCGAGCTTCAACAAACCGTGGATGAGGAACAGAAGAGACGTGAAGAATTCCGTGAGCACTTGTTGGCTGCCGAGAGAAAACTTGCTGTTGCCAAGCAAGAGCAAGAAGAGCTTATTGTCAAGCTTGAGGCTGTAAGAAGCTCTGAACCTGTAACTTAATCTTATTCCCCATTTTCAGATCGAGCGCGCTCGTCGTGTCGTCGAAAGCTCGGTGAAGGAGCACCAAGAGCACAACAACGAGCTCAACTCACAGAACGTTGCCCTCGCCACCGCTAAGAGCCAACTCGACAACGAAATCGCCCTTCTTAAGAGCGATATCGCTGAAGCCCACACCGAACTTTCCGCTTCTGAAGACCGTGGACGTCGTGCCGCCAGTGACGCCGCCAAGCTTGCCGAGGATCTCCGCCACGAGCAGGAGCAATCCCAACAGCTCGAGAGATTCAAGAAGCAACTTGAGAGCGCCGTCAAGGTTTGTAGTCTTTCCGATTTTTTTTCGCCTTGATCTCTGATTGTGATCGTTTTAGTGTGCGTCGTACAAAAATTTGCCATCGCTCTCGCAACTACTTATCTTTTTATCTTTTGTGCGCGTCATAGCTTGAGCAAACAACTCCCCAAAAGTTATCTCATGTCATTCATCCGATTTGTATTTCAGGATCTTCAAGAACGCGCCGACGCCGCCGAGGCTGCCGTCATGAAGGGAGGAGCCAAGGCTATCCAGAAAGCCGAACAACGTCTGAAGGCCTTCCAAACCGACTTGGAGACTGAGAGCCGCCGTGCTGGAGAAGCTTCCAAGACTCTTGCTCGTGCTGACCGCAAGGTCCGCGAGTTCGAGTTCCAGGTGGCCGAGGACAAGAAGAACTACGATAAGCTCCAAGAATTGGTAGAGAAGCTCACCGCTAAACTCAAGCTCCAGAAGAAACAACTTGAGGAGGCTGTAAGTCTCATAATTAATATGACAGTTATTTAAATATGAAAATTATTCAGGAGGAGCAAGCTAACAGCCACTTGAGCAAGTACAGAACCGTCCAACTTTCCCTGGAGACCGCCGAAGAGAGAGCCGACTCTGCTGAACAATGCCTTGTCAGAATCAGAAGCCGAACACGTGCCAACGCTGAGCAGAAGTAAATTCGATAGCTCATCCATCATATTTTTCTCTCTTTTTCTCTTTCAATCTCCGCCCTCTCTCCAATTTTTTTCTCTCTTTCTCCCCATCCACCTCCCAAGTCAATCATGCACAATAACAGTCCCCCCATACACATTTAACGTGTCACAAAATAAAATACCATCCCAACACCTTCTCTGTTGTTTTTTCTCTTTTTTAAACACATTTTCACTTGTCTCCATTCACTTCGTTTAATAATGTTTCAATTTATAACGCATTCGGATTTGTAGGATAGTGGAAATTTGTCGAAGCAGTTTTCCTGTGTAGACACTTCTCAATTTGATCAATAAACCATTGGTTTTCTGGCTTTTGGAAAATCATTGTAAATAACAAAATGTTCACAGCAAAATATGTTTTATAATGCATTTGTCTTGAATCCTAGAATAAAAATTTACAAAATTCAATCGTATTTTCTGAATCAAATCTCTAGCGTCAACACTGAATCAAAAAATCCATTTCAGAAGAATCGGAATTAATTCAAAAAGAACAGAAAAATCAAGCAGATATATTTTCCAATAGTAGTTATATGATTTTGTTTTTGATTGTTCAATTTTATATCATTACCTTAGAATGCTTGAGAAACTTCCGAAAAAAGACGAAAAACAGAATTTCTCCGGGATTGATGAATTTGTGATAAAGTTTAATCTGATAGATTGACACATACCGTCAACTTTGAGCCCACACAGCTAATTTCTAGCGAAAATATCAAAAAGTGGTGAACAGGCAACATTTTGATAGAAATACCAAACATATTTTGTCAGTTTACTACTTTTTGATATCTTGCACAGGAATCGAGGCGATTTTTTGTTGGCCTCTGTTAGAGTGTTTACCATGTTCAAAGGAAATTACAAATCATCAACATATTCCGACTAAATCTTGTACAAATGATTTCACTAAATATGTCAAAACCTTGTAAGCACTATACTGGCAACATTTGATCCTGTTAGAGGTGTCCGACTTGCAGCGTACTTTGTTCTTCTTGCATTTCGTCTTTCTGCTCTACATGTCAGCAATCTAATAGCTTCTTTTCTTTTTGAAGAGCTCCCAATAATGATAAAAAATGGGATAACCGCGGAAAATACAGTAGTCGTCAACGACTGGAATGCAGATTTACTGATAAAATTTTCACTTCTAGTCAGAATATACAACTGTGCTGCGGTGAAAAGCTGGAAAACTCGTTAAAGAATGAAATACGTTTTCAATAAAACTTACCGCTAGAAGTATAATAATTGGAGCAGTCTGAGCAAGCGCTGTTTTGTGCACACAAGCTATTGGTTCTCTTTCAATATGATTAACCAGAAATAAATTGAAGGTTGACATTATCAATGTTATGGTGATAACGCCAATTTCTAGCTGTAAAATTGGGTTGAATTTGTTTTCGAGCTTCAATTTCAACTCACCCATGGAGTTTTATCAACCACCATTATTTTGTTGAATGCAGATACGATGGCAACTGGATACAACAAAATCAGATACAAATTCAAACGTCGTCTAAAATCAAACTTTGAAAATTCCAATTATGCATTTTCACTATACACTTACCCTGTCATTGCACGAGTTCCTATTTTAGCATTCACCATTAGGACTATTCTTTGTAACGCTGATAAAAAGACGATATAATAAAAAACAGTAATTGTCACCATAGACATATTTTTAAGAAGGCATACAGTCACTGAAACTTCCGATTTTAAACATTTTTCGAACAAAAATAATTTACCTCTATATGAGCCGAATAAGAATTGGGATTTCATTATTATATGTTGTGAGGATTTTAATAGTGCAATGAGGCAAGAAAGAAGAGAAGATCCAAAAACTTGGAATGCACTCAAAATGACCAGATTCGTGTTGATTGGATGATGTGAACACTGTAATACGCTATATTATATTGAACTTCATTTTGGAAAAAAAATTTACTTGACTATCGCAATGTCTGGATTTATAATAGAGAAATAAAATACCAAGAAATGGTAGGAAAACCACAAATGTTACAGCTAATGTTAAATCTAGCTCAGTCTCCAATTTCAAGTTGGAGCTGAAAACGTTTAGAACTCCCATGGTAACTGATTATTCAATTTGTAACAGTTTTAGGTTCTTTAAGGGCAAAGCTCGAAATGGAAGAATCAGATGCTATTCTGACGTCTCATGCTCAGAAACACTCCTTCTATATAGATTTTTCACCTGTTGAAAGGTTGAAATGTTACGACTGAAAAAAAAGATTCAGGAGAAAAGAACATAATGTTAGTGAAATGACAGGGTTGATGACGATCAAGAACGCTACGGGTAATAAAGGCATTCTGTGAACCTTTTCGATTACAGTCAATAAAATAAAGGTTTGGAAAACAAGTAAAACTTGAAAAAAAGCAGAAGAAGAAATTCAAACTGTTGGTGTATTTTATCTATTTTATCAAAATTGGATAAGGCCGATTTTGGCTCAAATCCGAAGTTCCATGCTGATTTTTTTTTCAAAAATAGAACAAAAATGAAAAATGCCAACTGAAAAAAAAAAGTTAAAATTTTTTGTTTCAATACAAAACAAAAACTGTGAATAGCAAAAATTTCTCTCGAGCAAAATTCTGTTCTTTTTACTAAGTTTGGTCACTGCTCATCCAAATGTGGATATGGTATCTTTTGAGCGTTTCGACATTTCTTTATCACGGTATCAATGCATGTATACAAGTTTGAATTATTCCGTTCAGTGGGTAATGAAGCTGAAATTGCATTTTACAGAGAACAAGTTTCAAAATTTTTTTCTGAGCATTCATTATGTCGTTTTCCAAAACCGATTTATCTAGCAGATGCCCATGGGCATCTATTTTTCAACCTTTGCATGGTGCACGTCTATTCAAGACATTTCTTCAATTAGCCGGTTTTTGGTTCTTTCTGAACAGGAATCAAAAAAAAACATTGACAACATTTTCCAGAAAAGAAGAGTATTTCTGCACCAAACAGACAAATTGGACAGCCAGGGTGGGCTTCTATCAGAGACTATACGGTAATTTCTCACACCGTGATAACGGTGCCGTGATTATGATCATATATCCGTTACGAGCATTTTTCAACGATAAACGTTATGATCATTTCTCTGAATAAAACATTGTTTTATGTTTTTCATTTTCTATTTTCGAAAATTAAGCATACTGAGGATTGCAAATACAAATTCAAATTTGGTTTAAAAAATAATTGAATGTGTATTTTCTTTCTTTTTCGAAACTTCCCTTTTCCAACGAAACCGTGTTTATATGAAAGCTTTGCGGGGGAAAATGTACTAGTACAGAGATTTCCTCCAGCATGAATAAATTCTATTCATCCGCCCACTGTTGAGTCTCTTTTTTCAATTTCCCGTTTTACTTTGGTGTAGCATTTGCACTAATAATATTGAAAGTGTACACAGCCACCCATCTATTATGAATATTTCAACGGCCGTAAGTTCCAACCCTCCTGATAACAGAGTAATTGGTTATCTATCACTCTTTAGTCACTGCCTGAACCAAGTACGAAAACATGATAAGCACTTTGTGACCATTAGATTCGAAATGAAAGAGTATGTAACTCAAATGGTGGAGATTGTTCTCTAACTTATCTCACTCCTCACTCGCAAAAGAACAAAGTTCTTCCATGCGAAGTTCCTCCCCATTCTGCCTCCGTTCCACATAATGTATTCCATGAATAGCCGTCCGAAGTGTACCAAATGCACACAAAGTGCTTCATTTGCCAATGCCCACCCTAACCCACTTTGCATCCGTCGTTCCCTAGTTAGGATGTGCATCCCATTTGGAAAACCATCCGCAAATCCACACAAGAGAGTTTTGCCCTGCTCTAGTTAGGGTTTTCCCGGAGTATAGTAAGTAGTTACGAACGGAAAATTGTTTGTTTTTTGTGGGGAGCAATGCGAAGTCGAGTTAGGCAGGCAATAGCCAGTTCATATTTCCTGGGTATTTGTTTATTTCCCATCTATTTCACATTTTGTCAAGTTTTGATATTTGGTTGCAAAAGCTGCCATCAAATTTCTCATCACTATATAAGACGTCCCATTTGAATGATGTATTTTTATCGAGTTTTATGTTTAGTATTTATGAAAAAAGGCAGAGAATAAACACGAAGTCAAAATCGTTTCATTTTTGTGACACGTTTTCCAAAGAAATAAGACGTGTTGTCCCGTTCCCAGTATTCTCATATTTTTTCTTCCTGAAAATGTAGACGTATAGAAATAGGCAGGAAAAAATTATGAACCGAGGAGAAATAAATTCCAAATTTTTGATATTTTAGGAAACTTTAGATTTTATAAAAGAAGACCCTCTTGAAAGTATACATACGATGCTAATTTTGTTGGAATGGAAATTTCCATTTCTGATGAAATACATTTCTGAGATCGGAAGATCACATTTTTGATAACCTTTAAACTTGGAATTTCGAATTCGTTATTTAGCTTTCCAGCATTTTTGAATGAAATAACGACAAAAATGTTCAGAATTCTAAAAAGGAATTCAGGTTCTCCCAAAACCCATCCCAATATCTGAATGTTTCAATTAACGCCTCGTACTAACCAAGTAAATGAATTAGCCAGTTTCCAAATATCTCTCTCCTCCTCTTAATTTTTGTCTCCGGTAAACCATACTTGTATACTCTCGATGACCTACTTTCCGTCTTCCTTTTTTTGTCCAGCCACTCAATTCTTTTCGTTTTTCTCGTCCATATTTTTCCACGCGACAAAAACACCGCGATGCGACGACTCTTTCGCGTTAGATGGGGACGTCCGCGACTGAACAAACACAAGAAAGAGCGACAGGGTCCTCTCCGGCGAGTGTGTTACGTGGCCTCAACTGTTTCCCCCTCTGGCCGTCCGACTCTTTTTCTCGAGCGCTCTTTCCCCTCTTTCTCTCTCTTCCCCACACCACTACAGAGGTCGACAGATTTCTGGCAGTGTGCCAGATAGTGGTTAGCGTGTGCAAGTGCGCCCCATTGAAAGTAAAGAGGAGGCAAGGCTATTTCTAATTGTCGTGGCCTCCTTTTTAGGGGTCACTCTTTCTAATCCCGTCTCTGTCTCATATGTTCTCGTTTGCATTGAAATAATCCGTTAATTTTAGGTCTTCTCTCTGTTACTTGCAGTGTAATCTTTGAAATTGTATTTATTATTTTTTTGATTTTCTAAAATGCATGTTATATTTTCAGATGGACTTTGACAGCTCTCAACTTGGACCAGACATCGACGAATTTCTCAACAACCCGGATTTCCCAGCACATTTTGACGAGTTGGAGTTAGATGTGAGTTTTTTATTCGATCTGAAAAATATAAATCATTGAAAATTGAAGAGCTTGCTCTATGAAGAAAGTGCATCGCAAGAGTCCAGTCCATCGTCTTCATTCGGGTTCAGTGATGAAAATGCTGGATTTCGGTCCAGAGATGGTGGAAGTCTTGGGGATTCGTCGTCATCGGATAGTTCTCCACCACTGAGCTGCACCAATTTCACCGAGAATGATCAGGAAATGTGGGAGTTTGGATTTCAGGTAGAAGCTTAATTAAAAATTGTTTGATATACCGAATTCCTTGTTCCAGAATCCCAATCCGTTCGAGAACTTCGACCAACGCTTCGACCAATCATATCAGCAGCAAGAAGAAGTATTCGACGATCAGCACGGCGAGTATCAAGAAGTACAATATGACCAAGAAGTACAATACGATCAGGACGTTTTATGCGATCAACAGATACAATACGTGGAGGAAGAAAAAATTCAGTCAGAATTCCAGCGCCCAAATAAGATAATTGCTATTCTTCCAAGACCACAACAAATCAAACGAGTGATTACCAAACCGGTGCACAAGATCTATCGAGTGAAGGAGAGTGAGCATCAGCAAGTGCAGCAACATCATACCACGTACAAGGCTGTTCCAGTTGCAAGTTTTTTTTTTGAAATTTTTTATGGTTATTCCCGTTGCGTTTGGAAGTGTTTGAATTCAGACAAAAAAAAATAATTAGCAAATAATTCGAGGGGTACAAAAATTTTGGGGTCATTGGGGTACAAAGCAATTGGGCGGTACAAAATTCTCGATCCGGCGGTATAAAACACCTAAAATCCACATTTTGTACCCCGAATTGTTTGCACCCCTAAATAATATTGTGCCCCGTTGTATCCCCGAAATGTTGTACTTCCTGAGTTATGGGCCAAACAAGTTTCCCGCCGTTTTCTTGTAACAGGAACTTTTGTTAAATACAGTGCCCTAACTTACCGGCAGTAGCTTCTGCCTATTGGTAGCTTCTGCCTATTGGTTGAGGTACTGCGTTTAAAAAAGTTCTTGCCGCAGCGCAGTCCCAGGAACTTAATTTTTGTCTGAGAACTTCAAAATTCTTCCAGGTCCATCCATCCCCTCGGCCTCCACCACCAACTGTCAGATATTCGAATAATTTGCCAATTCAACCAAAACAAGGCCAATTAACAAGAATTGTCCCAGCTCGAGTATCTGCTCAAACAGTATCACCTCAAAAAAGAGAAGCTAAACAGCCTGGTTTCACTCAAGATCAGAGAAAAATTCGTAACCGAATGTACGCTCAAGCATCACGTATCCGCAAACGAGAGGCTGAGGAAGAGATGAAGAGAACTATTGAGGAGCTGACCACTGAAAATGATATCTTGAGGAATGAAAATACAATTTTGAAACAGCGTCTAGCCTACTATGAGGTAAATCATGCACACTGAGCAAGAAAAATTAGACATAATTTGATTTTCAGCCAGAAACACCGACCTATGAGTATTCACCCATGGAGAAAAGATCACAAGTTAGAAAGAAGATGATGGCAGCGGGTACTGTACTTATGATATTTGGCCTTTTTGCTGTCATCTCTCCATTCAACGTTGAAAACACTCTTCATGTGAAGCCCCAAATTATCGCAATCCCGAATGAAACTGTCATGATGGCTCGTCACAGCAGAGTACTTATTGCAGAGGAAGCTCCGCCAGTTTCCAAATTGGTAGCGAAATATTTTTAATCAATATTCCTACAATATCTTGATTCAGCCTCATCACACTGTCCACAACTACCCGAATTCCACTCAAACCGATTGTGAAATGTACAAGCTGAATGCTACAGAAACTAGAAGGTAACACTAAGATTTTTTCAGTATCTATTATAACTGTACTTGATTACAGAGTTAACAGCGAAATCGAGCGATGGGTGCAAGTCCACTCATTCGACAATGTTCCTATTCAGCACAGCGGTGGACTTTTCAACAAGGAAGCTATGCGGAAATTCAACGAGGCACGGAAACAGAAAAATCCGGTTGCGTTCGGTCCGGAAACACTTCAAGCCAAAAAGAAATCAGAGAAGGCGGCTCAGCAATTCAGAGAAAGGACTTGGCTCCAGTTGGATCAGTTGAACACGTGAGTTCATGCGACTATATTGATTTTTCCAATAGCCCGATCAAGAAAGCCCGGCTTCCTCCGGTAAGAACGGTACACAGGCGAGACCGCGGTCCCAACGAAGTTCTGATGTTCCAACAGTAGTCTCGACGTTCCGAAAATGGTCTTAACGGGACGACAACGGTCCCAATCTGGCTTTCTCGGAAAACCCTATGCCCGAAATTTATAATTTGCTCCCATACTCTGTAAAAAATTCCGGTTAAAAAGTACTGAATTTCTCAATTATCAGCAGAATTTTCCGTTTTGTTGATAAAATGCTTTTCTCAGTTGAAGCAAATGTAAATATTTCCGATTTACTTAATAGGGTTGGTATCGTTGTCAGAACGTTGAGGCTGGTGTCGGAACAATGGGACTCTTGGGGAAATTGTTGAAACCAGTGGTCTGGTGTTGGAAACAGCGGTTCCGTTTTTGGTCCATACTTCCCGGAAGAAATTGAAATTACTCCGGCTTTTTTCAGAAAGGAAAGTTATTCCTATGTAACAAAGATATTTCAGAGCCAACAAAATCGGCGTGAAAAATGAAAAAGTGGAAAATAAGAGTCAGGATATCGCAAAAATCGCATCGATCGTCCGTCAAAAACGAGATACTCTGTATATCATGGCTCTTCAAGATTACGTCCTTCTGCCCTCACTTACTAAAGGAGGCAACACAATTCCGAAATTGTCCTTGCTTCTGCCCAGTGTGCCAATGAACGGAACTATTCAGGATCAGGTGAGGAATGACAGATACGACGATTTTAAAATCTTGTGGGGAGGATACTCTAAAATTTTCGTCAGAATTGTAATTTTAATGAATGAGAAAAGTTGACATAGAAATCAGGTCGAAGCCTCAGTTATTCCCAATAATTCTTATTTCATCGAAAAAATGAAACCAACGTGTTTCCCGGTATCGATGTACCTTGAAATAATGATGTTGAATTGGTTGATTAAAGTATGACCCCCCACCAGTACAAAGTGGGGGCCTATACTTGAAGAACCTGGTATTCTTAAAATATGGCCCCCACCCCTCTGCCTTTTTCAAATAAAGCCCCCCAACCATTCAAAAATAGCCCCCCAAAAAGAGAACCTTATCTGAGCCCCCCCCCCACTTTATTCAAATATGACCCCCCCCCCACCTATTCAAAAATAGCCCCCACCCATTCAATTTTAGACCCCCCCCCCCACCAATTCAAAAATAGGTCCCCACCATTTTTCGGCCTAAGCCTGAATTTTAGAATGTTTTAATTTTGGAAGTTCTGATAAGATATACATAGCTGAAAAGTATTTTTCAGAAAAAGTTTCCAAGAAGCAAGGAAAAATAATGAAAAATGACACAAATTCCGAAAAAATCAAAGAAAATAAAAAAAAGCTCAAAATTTGCATCATGACGGTTACGGTGCCCTTCACACACCACAAACTACGCAAAAGTGGGGGTCTATAATTGAATGGGTGGGGGGCTTATTTTGAATTGGAATGGACCATTTAAAAGTGGGGGTCTATATTTGGATTGGTGGGGGGCTTTTTATGTTTTTATTAATTAGGTAAACTGAAAAATCGTCCAATACTGTCAGAACCCTGTAAAACTCTACCGAATCCTATAGGATACTCTAAAGTTCTCACTATTACGGAAGACCTTCCAGATATCGATCCATATTTTTTGAGTCTAAACATCTGTCAACCATTTTGTTTGTTTCAGTATACACTACTACGAGTCGACTGCGAAGTGACCGGAACCGGACGTTTGACCCTTTCCAACAAACAACTCTCATATTTGATGCCGTAATTTTGAGCCCATTGGATTTCCAGAACTTCTTCTTCACTTTTTCGAAATTTCTATGTAATTTCCCGTTCTCATCACCCCCGCACGATTTTTTTTCGGTATTTTTTTCATATTTATTGCTGTTCTTTTTTCTCTTTTGTGCTTCTCCTTTCTTCTATTCTTTTATTTTCCTATGTTCTTCCGCATCGCACTTTTATCGATCATTCTTCTTTCTTGTATTTATTATTCATTTCTGAAATCGCCGGTTGTCCTCGATCAAACGCTCTATCACCCGTTTTTCTCTGCGTCTCCTCCCTGCGCGCACTCTCTGGTCCGATCGTTTCTATGTCCCCGTTTCTCTACCACCCTCTCTTCTGTACGATGTCTCTCTTCTACACATATATTTGTATATTAATTTTATTCAATTTTCTTACTTCCCTCAGTGTTTTCCAGAGTTTTATTGTCATTATTCCATCAAAATTTGCCAGTCATTTAATTTCCACAATTCTAGTTACAATTCTCACCAAAATAGTCATACATTCTCACAACATTGATGATATTTATTCGGTTTTTATCTCATTTTTCTAATTTTCTGGGGTTTTCGTAAATTGCCTTTTAAAAGTTAAGTTATTTAGGGTCGGTCCGATTGACGAATTTTGATCACATGTATTTTAAATGCTGTATTATCTGTTTTTTCTTTCCCTTTATTTATTAATGAAACATTCTGAGATAATCCATGAGTTGACACTGGGTTTTCAGTTTGTGCACTGGTTGTTATACTAGTTTTGTTATTTGTGTTTTTACCTATGTTCTTTACTATCCTTTCTTCGAAGTTCTTCTCACTCTTCCCTATCTTTTCCCTCTTTCAGCATGACGACTCGATACATGGAACGTCTCGCCAAAATCGAGGAGGTCCTTCTCATCGCCAACAAGAAAATCGATATGAACGATTTTCGTGCCGGATGCAGTTACGGAGTGCCGGAATCACTTCGTCCGCTTGCCTGGCGTCTTCTTCTTCACTATTTGCCTCTGGAACGCCACAAGTGGCAATCATTCTTGGCCGATCAGAGAAACAACTACGATCAGATGATAGAGCAGATCATTGTGGAACCGGGAAATATTGCGATGGAGCAGAGTAACAGTCAGACTTCAGATAGCGATCATGTAGGTTTGAGGGGAGATTAGGAAAGGATTAGAAATAACGAAGAATGGAGAAAAAAAACCAAAAAAAAAAACCGGATATTAGGTGAAAAAGGTGAATAAGTGTGATGCCTACCGTAACTTTGATTCGGTTAGGTCAAAAATATTTGGCCATCGACTTGTAACTTTTGGTCTAAATTTGAGAATTCGGTTTCTGGTAATTTTTTGTCCAAGTTTGGTTCAGATTTTATCGAATGAATCATATCATTATCAGACGGCACAATTCGGTGGGAACAAGGCGGTAGAAAGTGATTTAGAAGTACAAAATCCACAATTCCGGGTACAAATCTTGAATTTGTTCAGGTGTTTTGTACCACCGAATTGAGGATTTTGTACTTCTGAATTGCTTTGTACCCCAATTACCCCAAAATGTTTGCACCCTCCGAATAATTTGCCATATCAGATTTGAAGAAAAGTTGAAAATCACTACTGCCTAGTCAAATTTGATCACCATCACTAAAGTCTAATCTGAAATATGATCAAACTCCGGTCAACAGTTTCCTGCCAATGCCGAGTAGCCAATTTCGTGTCGTTCTGATTGCATAAGACACCAAGATATCAACCAGAAGACATGTAATTTCTCGAAGTCATACTAGATTTAGTGGTGATTTAATTTTTTTTTCCGAATTTGTCTAAAGTTGCAAAATCTGATGAATTTTCAGATTTTTAGGATCCAAAGATTTCAGAAAAGTGGTGAAGTACAAAATTCACTCAAGCTCAAAATGATTCGAAAGGCGGCAGAAGGCCTATTGTAGTATTGAACTACCTAACATATCAGAAGTAACTGTATGACACTAGACGTTCTGAAAATGTTTCCTTTGAAAATGCTCATGATGTTGGAAACTGATCAATTCGTCAAAAAGCAAATTCCAAAAAAAATTTTTGTTTTTCTCCTACTTTTGATTTTCCCAAAATAACTTGTGAACAAAACGGAAAGCATCTTAAACCTAGCATGAGTGGACAATAAAAATCCCCTCATCACAATTTTTTTTGATTATCGTGAATAAGCTAAAAAAATTCCGAAAAGATACAATTCTCAAGGTCCAATTTTCAAGTTGTTTCTGTTTGTGTAGCTGCCAACGCCGACCGTTTTCTTCTGATGTCTACTACAAATTGTTTATACAGATACCGTGACAAAATTTTTGTACCTCTTGAGAATTTTTTTACCTCGAAAAATTCGCCAAAACCAAAGCTATGTAAATATTGCGAAATTTTTTCTGCTGTTTCACGGAACGCTATGTGATGGGATACTGTAATGTTTTCTCTAAAGTTCCGACTAGTCCAGTCATCAAATTCTTTATCAAGCAATAAGATATCACGCGTGGATGCTATGAGAAACATACATGGGTCTCTAAAAGTGGGAACTTGTTGAAGACCATCAATTCTCCCAAAAATTAGTATCTCCAGCAATTATTGTTTCCAATGAAAATCAGATGAAACAAAAATATATATTTTAATAATTTAGTATTAAAACCATCTAGAAAAATCGTAAATCACAGAAAATAAGAATCACTGGAGCTTAGAAAAGCTATACAAGGCTTTAAAAAGTCTGTTTTAGTTTTGATCTACCTGAAATTTCAATAGCTAAATAAAAGACCCGATCTTGTAATATTTTTTTCCAATTCTCATGATGTTTCTCGGCTATGACTGCTGATACATCTCACTTTTTCATTATCGATTCACCCAAATTGTTTATGAACTACAAAACGATAAGCATTTTGAAACCTATCACTAGTAGATAGATACAAATCCCTAATTACAAAAAACCTATAACCTCTCAGAGGCTAAGATGAATTCTGAATCGGATAGAATTTTTAAGTTGCGCGATTTTCTTGTGTTTCTGTTTGTCTAGCTGCCAACGCCGACCATTTTCTTTTGATGTCCACTACAAATTGTTTGATTAGATGCCGTGACCAATTTTGTAACTCTCGAAAATTTTTTTGTACCTCTTGGAAAATATGCCAAAACCAACTATGTAAATACTGGCAACGTTTTTCTGCCGCTTTTCGAACGCGTGGTAATGGGGTACCGTAATGTTCCCTCTAACATTCGGACTAGTCCAGTTAGCAAATGTATTATCAGAGCTATACGCGTGGGTGCTATGAGAAACATAAAAGAGTATCTGAGAAACGTGGGAACTTTTGGAAGACCACTACTTCCCCCCGCAATTATTGTTCTCAGGGCAAATCAGAATATGAAAATGTGGATGGTAGAACTTTGAAGTAATCAAAAATCAAGGAGCAAAAGAGAAAAATGTTGATTTGTGATTTTCAGAGTATAAAAAGAAACTAAAACTCATTGACATACTCAGAAAAAAAGAGCTTAGAAAATGGAACAGATTTTTGAAGGATTAAAAAAAGCAAAAAAAAACATGAAGGAAGAAGTAAGATCTGATAAGGATAATAGAGTGCAAGACGTTCTAATTATAGGAAAGACATATTTATTAACACGAAACAAGCTTACATGCTGTTTTTTTGTGTATTTCATCGTGAAGTCGTATGAAACAGTTCAATATCTGAAAAAACTTTATACCAAGCTCTTATCACAAAGGGATTTTATCCTAAATCCCTGATAAAAGTTCCTTAAACTTTACAAAAAACACTTTTTTGAACACACATACCGTAACCTGCCTGGGAAGTCATTTAATGGTATTTCGGATTAATTTAAAAAAAGTTCTCACCTCAAAACACTTCATAGTTACGCTCAAATAGTGTTTTGTAGCTATGCTGCAAATTGGCTCCCTTTTTGTACTCAAACAAATCAAACCTGCAATAAGTTTGACCCAATACAAACATGTCATCAGAACATCATCTCAAGTAGTCCGAGAATGCATAGACAACGTTTTTTTACTTCATAGCCAATTCAGAAAGAATAGCGACACAAGACAGAAACGTCGTCTTCGACGTCATTTAGACCAGACGGACCTCCGTAGTTTGATGTTGAGATCATATAACTGAAGACGTAAAATGATGGGTTATGGAAGAAAAAAAGCAAAGACGCACGTGTCGGGTATTGTTCTGTTATGCATTAGGAATGATTTTCTCGCGCCACCGCCAGAAACGTCAGAATCTAGGATACGGTAGCGACTGAAAACTTTTCAAAACTAATTGGACTCAAAAATAAAATATAGGACTTTTTCAGCCCCTCTCGGACCACCCAACCAGCGATTGGCAAGCGTTCTTCCAAGACAACAAGGTTCTCTCGCAGATTGACAAAGATGTTCGCAGATTGTATCCAGAGATACAGTTCTTCCAATTGCTGTCCAAGTTTCCGCATCCGTGAGTCTTCGGGATTCCATGAACCTCTAAAAAGCCTAAGTTTTCAGACACGGAATGAAATATCCATTGTCTCGCAGAGTGATCAACCATCAGGAGCTCACATCTCAAGAGTTTGGAGCCAATCGCGATGGAATAGTCGGTGTAAGTCCCTTCGTAACTTTTTAATATATATGTTTGTGTATTAATGTTTATGTATGTGCAAGCTCATGTAAACTAATTCACGAAACATTTTTATTCAAGGGATTAAGAGATTGGGGTGACTCAGCAGGTTTGCGAGGAGGGCGAAAAAATGCAACTAATCATGAAAAGTTTATTTTTGCAGTGTGTCAAGACCAATCTTGCAAAAGGAAGCCACGACGAGAATCAAGCACCCAACTCAGAGTTCCATTGGCATGTAAGTACACGTAGGAACGAGGAAAATGCAATATTTAAGGCAAATGATTTAGAGGGTACAAAAATTCGGGAAACAAGTAGTGCAAAGCGAGTGAATGTTTTAGATATTTTGTACCCCCGAATTGAATTTTTTGTACGCCTGAATTGGTTTGTACCGTATAGACCCTAAATTCGTGTACCTTCCAAATTATGTGCCAATATTCGAACACATGAGAACTCCAAAACGGAAATAAAGACTTTGATTGCTGTCGAATCAAATCGGTTTCACGAAACGAATACTTAGTTGAGTCTGATATTGCTGATTCGGCTAAAATAATGCGAAACCCTGGAACAGAAAAATTATCTGAAACATTGTTAGCTTTTTTGAACTTGGCAACACATTCTATACAAAGAATCAGAAGAATCAGTGGCTTACTCGCTGAGAGATTCTCCTTTTTTGGCATGAATCACTCCTTGGCCCCCACAACATAAATTCTAATTTTCACATTCAAGTCAACCTCAATTTTTTGTGTCAGTCATTACTCTGCTCCTTTCCAGATCGTCGAGCGTATCCTCTTCATCTACGCGAAACTCAATCCGGGAGTCCAATACGTTCAAGGCATGAACGAGTTGGTGGCCCCCATCTACTACGTTTTCGCTAACGACACCGACGAGGAATGGGCCGCGTATGCCGAGGCTGACACATTCTTCTGCTTCCAGGTATTTCAGTGGGTCTTTTGCCTGGCACAGTCTGACACTAACCTATAAACGTGCTGCCTTGAATTCCGAGTAGGCGCTTGTGGTTTGCTTTTTGTGAGAACCAATTAAAAGATCAATCCCCAGTTTCAGGGCACGATTTTTTGAGTTTTGTGCATTGCTAAGTTGATTTGATTACCCCCGCCAAAGATGAAAAATGAAGAAGTAACTGATTTTTTTTCAGCAACTGATGAGTGAGGTCAAAGACAACTTCATCAAAACCCTGGACGACAGCATTTGTGGAATTGGTATGTTATAGACAAGGAAGTGTAATAAATGACATTCTGCGGGGTCCCTGAAAAATAATTCTGATACGTTTTTCGAACAAAAGAGTGTCGACAACATCATTCGCGAGGGTGTATCCCTCTTCATTATCTTAATGTCGTTGTGCTTTGTTTGTTTGTTAGAACAACACTATTTCTGGGAAGAAACATATTCAAGAACATGTAGTGATCTATGAGTCATTTCTGATATTGACATGAATGGGGTGAGCTGAACAAAACACACCGCGAAGAGGAACTAGAAATTTTAGATTGGTGGATATCGTAATCCTGAACAATCCAATTGACCTTCTCTGGTCAACAAAGAAATTTAAAATCCTAGTAAATTAGAATTGTTAATAAGACCTCTTCAGGAATAAATTTAAATCAGAAAATTGTATACAGTAATCCATGTTTTCAGAATCTTCAATGTCCGCATTCCATAACATGATCTCCACTTTCGATCCCGAACTTCACAAGCATCTCACATCGACTCTCGAAATCAAACCACAGGTATGTTGCGATGACACGGGAAAGAGACGAACTTCAAACATGTTTTTTCGTTTTTAAAAACCTTCATTAGCGTCTGAAAAGTCCCCTTCAAATTTGTCTCCCACTCAGTCTGTCACCCCTTATCCAAATTCCCGATAACACATCATAACCAAACTACTAAACATGAAAACATCACAACAATAGGAAGCAGAGGTGTATCTTGTATAATCCGTACATTCCGTCACTTTTCGGATATTTCTGTTTCTGTCGCACATGGTGATATCGGATAGTGCAGTGATATCATTTTTGAAAACTTTTTGGTTTCCGTTTTTAAAACGGATTAAAATTCTATTCTTTGCAGTTCTACGCCTTTCGTTGGTTGTCATTGTTGCTCAGTCAGGAGTTTCCACTTCCGGATGTCATCACTTTGTGGGATGCTCTATTCTCGGACCCCCAGAGGTACCCAACACATCAAATGAGTCACAATCAATTATAAACGTTCAGATTCGCCCTCCTTCCATACGTGTGCCTGTCCATGATGGTCTTGCAGAGAGAGTCGCTTATCAGTGGTGACTTCCCATTCTGTGTTCGCCTTCTTCAGGTGAGTGTATGTGTATCAAAACACACCGTATGATCTGCGCGACTCAGACCAACATCATTATCTGATCTGTTACAAAGAAACTAAGCCTGGCATGACTGAATGAGTTCTCTGAAAAACTCTTGAAATTCATTTTCATGCCTGCGATTCTGATAATCCCTTCTTTAGCCACCCACACCTCCTTTGTTTTCTTTTCTTTCATTGTTCTTATCACAAACTCTATGTATCTAGATATAAAGAAACAATGAGTGTCCCGCTTCGCTGAAAATCGTGCGATCTTTGCAACACCATATATTAATAGAATGGGAGTATGAATAAAGTCCCCGGGGCGGTGGCTTGGCGCCCAGCTGCTCTCACACACAAAGATCAAGTCAAAAATCATTGCTCGGTATCAAAAACGATTAATCAGTGGGAGGAAAAAAAAAGAATGAGAATTCATGGGAATATGTTTTGATGTTTCTAATCACAAAAGTGACAAAAAAGTGGCAAAACGAATGAAAGATCAACATTAGTATAATAGCTGGGTGCCTGAAAAATTTATGCGCCGATTCAGAAATAGCGCCGGCGACCAAAGTTTTGGACCCTCCGATAACTAAAAAACCCTATTATGAATAAGAGCTCATTGAAGAAGTATCAACCTCTGATCGCTACAAATCTCTAAAATCAGTGAAGAGTGAAGATCATACTTTATTAGAGGATACAAATATAACTAATAAGATTGAAGTACCCTTATTAAGCCAATCTTCACTCTTTGAATCTACAAATCTTTCTTTTTGCTTTTGGTAACTACCAATATGTAGACTACAGAGATCGAATAACAAGTGAATACGTGTATGATCAGATTATCTAGGTTGATCGAACGCTTCTTAAGTCCAAAAATCTGAATGAAAAAAAATATCAAAAAAAAAAATGATTCCAGAACTATCCGGATTCGGATGTCGCCAAGATTGTCGCCTACGCTCAGGACATTCGTGATGGCAAGGCTCCACGTCCAGCGTCTAAGGAGGTCTCAAAAGGAAGTAAAATCGCGAAGCACGCCCGCCAGCTCTCGGATACACTTCGCAACCTTTCCATCATCAAAAAGTAGTGATTACAGCATTCCTTATTCTTCTAGCCAATTCTTCTATTCCTGAATTCGCCCTTTTCACCCCGATCAGCTTTCCCGATCTATGCTAATCTTGAGATTCTTCTTCTACGCCACGATCATCACAACCACTTTACTATTACTACGTTTATTTTTTATTCTGTGAGTGCGTCGTGTCGTAATAATGTAAAAAGGAAATGACCTTAAGGTCGGAAACATTCTATTTTTCTAAATATAACCGTTGGAGCCAAAGATTTTCTAATGCCTCCCACATTTACGTTACTCATGTTTCTTTTTGTATAATGTGAAAATTTAAAAATAGGGTCCCCGATATTCTCTTAACCTGTGGTCGATTTGACTCGCTTTTGTGACCACTCTCCATCACTTGTCTCTCTCTCCTTCTCTCAAACACTTTGTGCCTTAACAGTTCAATCCGTTGCCAAGTCGTTTTCCCCCTCATTGCTCCATCCCACACTTTTGTTGTCCCCGTAATCAATTGTGAATTTCAAACCAGTTCAAACAAAATACAGTTTTGCATAACGATCCATAAAATGCACTTGTTGTTTTTTTTTCTTTTTTGGAAAGAGCAATCCAGATTTAATCAGGGCTCACTGAGCACAAGCCGCCCTCGGAAAAAAAACCAACATAAGTCAGGTTATTTATTTGGATGTCGTGGGGTGTGTTTTGAACAAGAGGTCCTTTTTTGCGGTGGTCTTTTTCTATGATGAATGCATCTAATGAGAGTACTCGCCTCAAAAAAAATGGACCATAAGAAACAGCGTCAGCGCCTCTCAATCATAAATGTATGGAGAGACCCCACAGCGGTTTTCTTGGCTAGTGACGTTGTTCTTGATGTCAGCAATTAAAGGTCTTTCTTTTGCATTTTTGGTACTCTCTCCAAGAACATAGTGGCATTGTGAAAAGCGGGCGGCATTCTACTCAAGCGGATGTCCCGGAGTTCAAAAAATTCGGCCGGACCGAGAAACGTTTTCGCTCTATGCCTTTTTGTTTGGTGTATGCTCGGAGAAGTGATTTGCATGTTTCTTCTGACGACCGATAAACAAACCAATCAAGTGAATACTCTAGTTCTTTTTTCTTTGAGTTGACAAGCAATCTGGAATAAATAAAAGTTTGTGCATTGGACTACACAGTGGATTGTGCACACGAATCAGAAGCACAACAGGAAATGTCTACGTAAAGGACCCTTCGGTTGGCGAAGACGGAAGTATGGCTACCTGAAGAGCAAACGTCATTTGAAATGGCGTGTAGGTAACCCAAGAAGAACTGACAATGAACATCGGTAATGTCCAAACTCCGACGAACAAATGTATCAAGTTGAAAAATGTAAATTAAGAATACCATCCCAATTTTGGCGTGCTAAGTTCTAGGTTCTCCAAATTTGGATAAAAATCACGGTAGAAAAAAAACACAAAGAATCAGATCAATTAAACGAATCAAACGAAACAAGCAGTTCCGGGAACGTTGCTTTGAAAGTTTTTTTTTCCCAAGGAATAGTCTGCAGATCCCATGAAGCGTATTCAGTTTTCGGTTTGAGATTTCGATCAGTGACGATTCGAATTCCTCGTCATCATACACCCGATATTTTTTTTCGGGAAGATCGAAAATGCATTTTTCTGGAAGAAAAAAATTCCATGTGTACAAGGACCCGTTCCTTCACGTATAGTAATTCTTTATCGCATCTCGATCCGGACACATAGCCCAAACTATATACAGTTTCAAGAGCCCTTCTCGTTTCGGTGCAGATTCCGTACACCCTATCTATGCAAATCCTTTTCCTGCCGATGCGCAAATTTGATCGGAGACAATACTCTCGGTTATTTGTCGAAAAAAAATATTCAAAGATGATTGCCAAACTTCGAATATTTCGGTGTTGATTTATCGTCTAGCTGGGGTATACACATATAAGGCTGGGAACATTTTTTCAAGGTTGAATTCTCTTTTGAAAAAAATGGTATCGAGTGGCATATACTTGAACCATTTGTTCGCGCACTTGATTTTTTGTTGCAAATAATATTCTATAAAACATATACAAAAACGACACCGATCTGACAACAAACACGAGTAGTACGCGCGAAGAGCCGCAAATAACGGGCTACAGTAACCCGGACTCCATTTTCGGGAAGGCGGCTAGAGGTTAACCCTCAATGATCACAAACGTTTTGCAGGAATGGAGGCAGAACACTTCGGCGGCTAATCGGACCTTTGATTCTTCCTTCCGATAGTCTCAAGACTTTGACAATCTTTGCCCATTTTCTGCTTTCCGATGTCTAAACGCTCCATCAGAACCACTTCTCGTATATTCCCATTTTATCAACACGCGGTGAAAATGTCGTCATCATTCTCTATTCTTCACTGTTTCCCATCGAATTTGCTACAGTCTTCCCCCGTCCCTCCTCCTAGGCTCTGTCAACTATACCTTCTCGGCGGGCGGGGCGTTCGAGATGTCGGCCGTCTTCGTATGAAGATGGAGGAGGTTCAGTTGCCCATTCCAACTGTGTTTTAGCTCGGCTGTTAGAACAGAGAGCATCGGAGGAGCGACTCCTCCCATTTTTCTCTTCTTTTTCTTCTTCTTCTTTCTGCAGCTGCGCCAAAGTTTTGGCTTCCACTGACCGCCGCCTGGCCCAGCCCCCTTTTTCACGTCTTCTAGTTTGCTCCCCACCCCCCTGGGCTCGGCTCCTCCCCCCGCTTCATCTTCCAATCTTTCACTTTGCGGTCGCCGGGCGCAGAACCTTCTCGCCTGATCTCGATTCTTCTAGAGTCATGTTGCTCATCAACTCGTACTGCTTCCTCGCCTCCATGGTCATCATCGGAGCAATGGCCGACGTCTACGGACCCGTCTCGGATCACTTCCTTCACCACCTCAACAAGTAAGTCTAAACATCTCGCCGAATAGGCATAGATCAAGAAACCTTGATATTATCTTATCATTTTTAATTCATAGTACCAAACTGTTTACGATACTTATGCCATTGAATGTTTATCATCATTCTCGTCTCTCTGTCTGATCTTATCAAGAAACTCCTCGTGTTTTGATCTTTCTCCTTTTTTGTATGAACACTTGAAAGTCTAGACAAGTTTTTTGATCATCCTCTGCATTATTCTAACATTTGATTTGATCCAGAACCTTCAACTTGTTTTCATCTAGATCTTGAGCTTCTGTCTTCCTGTTCTACGACTCATTCACATTAGGATGTCTTCCAAATTCCGAGTATCCACCCTCACATCCGTAGATCGTAGAACTAACAAGATTTGCTCAGAAAGCGGAGCTTCTTGGTTCTACGATACCGTATACCTAATGAATCTGATGAACTGACTCTTTCATTTTTCGCTTTATAGATTTTTGACCACAACTTCATATTGTTTGTTTGTTGCCATTTCATTAATACAAGAAGAAGAGGTTCAGTGTTCAGAACACGAGAATCTCAAAACTTCTGGGATCTCACTGATCTGAAATTCCCATTTTCAGGCGTCCAAAGCGAAACGATGCCATCATCCGCCAGGTCGAAGCATTAGGGGACACTGGTTCCTTTGGTGGAAAGGCATTTTCCGATGAAAAGGTATGCAATAGAAGTAATAGAAACTAATTATCATAGTTCCGAACCGAACGTCCTTGTAGCGAGAGTCCTCAAAAACGGGGGGAAGACCAGGAAGGGTAGTGTGTTTTGGTCGGGATCACGGTGGTTAGAAGTGTGAATTGGATTACGGTTTCGTTCCGTTTGCTTTTTCCAGCGGGTGGGCGCGCTGTTCTCGTTAGTTGCGAATACCCATTCTGACGTAGAAGAGGGGATGACCACTGTTTCTGGAAAGTCTCAAGTGCAGAAGCTGTGGGAGGTAATCGCGGCGGAAGGAGCGGATGTTGGCGAGGGGGACCATCTAATGCGTGGGAACTTTTGCTCAAACGCACTTGAATGCTTCTGGAAACACAACATAAGAAAAAACGCACATACAACAAATATGACGAAACATTCCATTGGGTGGCGGTCCCCACGCAATTCCGTTTTCCGGCTCACTTGTGATTGGCAACATAGTGGCGGGCGCGGACCTTTCTATTTTGTGTTTTTGTGGTAGTAAGTAACATTATAAGGTCAACCATAAAAAACTAGTAGGGCGTTTCCTTTTTCCTGTTTTACGCATTTCCTTAGAAGTAGTCCAAGAATAGAAAGGTTTGTGTGTAAAGCAAGTAACCTTTAAGTGATTGACGTGTGTCACGAACTACCGTAATCCTGGGGACATTGTTTGTGTGAGTGGTGGCAAAGTTCAGACAGAGCGGATTTCTTGGGTGGGATATGGGAAGATAAGCAACCACGAAACAAGAAAAAAGAAGACTTAAAACAAAATATGACGTTCTTAAACTACAATCCAAGGGGGGGCATGGATTAAATTCAAAATGAAAGAACTCCAAGTCTAAAAAAAGAAATTCCAGCTCACCAACACCCCAATTGTATTCATCCATGGAAATTCCGACTCAGCTCTTAAATACGAAAACCATCCATTCCAAACGGGATTCAATGATGTGATCAAATACTTCATGGACAAGGACTACACCCTGGCTGAACTCTACGGAATCACCTACGGAAACCGCAGCATGGCTCATTCGTTCTCAAACTTCATGCAATGCGAGTACTTCCAACTTCAACGCCGCTTCCTCGAGTTCGTTCTTCACTACACCAAGTCCGCCCAAGTCAACATCGTCGCCCACTCCATGGGAGCAACCATCGCTCGTCGAATTATCAAAGGAGGACAGTACACCACCAGCACCGAATCCTGCGATCTCGGCCATGACTTGACCAAGCGCGTGAATACATTTATCTCCATCGCCTCTGCCAACTATGGAATGTGCATTTGCGAACACGCTCTGGCCTTTGCTGCTTGCGGAATGGAAGTAAGTTGGAAAATCCTAGAAAGGCTTCGTGTAGTATTGCGTCATTGTGTTTGTATGGGTACTATCATAATGAATTATTCTGTAGTGAGAGTAGTCTCAATGTTTCACCAGTTGTTTGGCACTATTTTGATGAGATGTCTAAAAATAAACGAACTCCATAATGCATAGTCTCAACACACTCTCTTTTCCAGACTGGATTCCATCCAGGAACTTGCACCGGAACCTCTTGCGACAGCCAAGACTACAAATCGACCGAGAACTGCGGAGACGTCAAATACTCATCCACCCTCATGGATCTGAATAAGGACGGAAAGAAGGTGGCCGGATTTGTTGCCAGTCTCTGGAGCGAAGGTGAGTAACAACAACACAGATAGTTGATTCGATCATCGAATTAGCTTTTAAGCTAAAGTTCATAGGTTAGCAATCGGAACTGAAACTGAAAGAAAACACAGCTCCCACAACTTCATAAATAGAAAAAAAAACCGAATAACTAAAAATCAAGCTTTGACTTTCAGACGATGAGATTATCGGAAACTTGGTCTGGGGACGCCACACATCTCTCGTTCCACACTCGGACATGCGCAAGGTGGGTAACCAAGTGAAATCTTGTCAGAAGCATACTGTATCTGTTTCAGATCTACACAAACTTAAGCCACATGGATATGAAGAGCTCCACCGCTGCCGACCAGTACAACATCATCCGCATGAACGACCAGAAGTTCACCTTCGCCGATAGCACCGAGTACTAATTTCCATCTCTCCCACCCAGCTCGAAACCGTTTACCAAAATTGAAAAATGATTTCATACCGATTACCAAATGTACTCATAATAATCTTGAACCGTTTTCTCCCCCCTCATTCCCCAAACACCTCTCGTAGATTCTCATTGGCTCACCACCCCATCCTCATCGAAAGCCCAACGTATTTTTCTTCCATCATTTCAGCTAGATCTTCCTCCTCTAAATTTGATTTTTTGTGATACTCAAAAATGTATCTCCGGTTGTTCACTCTTAATCACTCCGCCCCTTCCACCCTCTCTTTAAAGCCCCCCTACGGGTCTTAAGTAACCTATTTGTTTACTATTTTCAATTAATTTTAATATGACCCGATTTTTTTTTTCCTTCCCACTTTTCCTCGTAGACGTTTTGTTTTAAATTTTTTTGTTTCCCTAATGTTTCTGCTAGTGTTCTCATTGTTGTAGCGCTTCTATATAATTAATCTTATTTTGGGAAAGTTTGATATGATATTAATTACTCATTTGGTGATGTTAACATTCAGATGAAAATTTAGAACTCTGTTTATGTCTGTCTTAAAAACTGGAAAATGATTAAAACACAAAAATGTGTAAATGAAAAAAAAAGTGATCAACGAAACATGGCAACTTGATCTCTGCACCGATCAAAGTTTTGCTCACATTTTTGGACTCTCTGGTTTATGTGTTTTGTGGGAGGTGGTCAGAGAACAAAAAAACATGGCAAGGTTCGTTACAACTTGGGAAACGTCTTGAAAAAAATAGAGAGTACTTTGTAGGGAAAACTAGACCAGGATAAGCCTTTGAACATCCACGGCTCAAGTTTTCTTATGGAACTTCTGTCTGGGATTGTCTACTGTACACAATTAATGAGGGGACAAATCCATGTCTAGACTTGGTCGAATTTGTATTGTACTAAATGGTAGGTTTAAAAGATAAAGCTTCGTCTTGAGCCCTTCAGGAGGTATTACCGGAAGTTTGAACACACAATTCTCAGAAGTCACACTTCTATTTTTAAAGAAGCATACTGTGGATTGTTTCCATTGAATCTTGAAACTATTTTAAGCAATCACAATATATACAAAAACGAATATTCTGAAGACATTTCAGGTGTCCTGTTACTAATTTGGTCTATTCTAGGTGCTTCGAACATTTTGGAAAGGTTGACTACAGTACCCCCTTCAATGAATCACAAGCAATTGCGCGATATACATACAAATAACTTTTCGACAGTTTTCAGCTGCTCAAATACTGAATTTAGAATCGAAACAGCTGAAAAACTGAATAAGTTTGTTTGTGAATTGCTTCTACCGTATTCTGGCTTGGTCATCGAGTTTGGGGGGGGGGGGGCTTTGTGATTTGAAAAAAAAAACTGTAATCAATATTCTAAATTGGCTCCTACGTCATTCCTGCCTTCCCGCCTTTCCTGATCACAATGTTTCAAACCGTTCAACTATTCATCTTTACTTAGACTGCCAATGCACAAGTTGCGTCACACCCAAGCTGAACCACACTTCAGAATACATCATAATCGTCATTCGAAATTCTTGAAATTCTGTGTTCTGGCCACCTCGCACACTAAATCTGCTTATGCTTGTTTTTTTGTCCCACTCAAGTCTTTAAAAATAAATTTTGCTCTTAAATATTGTTATCTGCGTCAGGAATTGTATCGGTGTGATTTCACCAAAAATCCGTGTGTGGCGAAATGAAAAATATTTGTGTGGTGACAGGTACCAATGATGACTATTCGTAACTTAATCAGGTCTAAGTGTCAGGCGTTCCGTTCTTAAAACCTGATCTATCAATCCGTTTCTCTATTTTGCTCGGATCATCCGTGTATAATGTGTGTCGGCGTTCAAGTCACCATCTTTTGAAAAGCATTTTTTTCTGACGCCATGCAAAAACAGGACACCAAGTCAAAAATGGAGTCATGCGAATGAAAACAGTAATTTTCATTAAGAAGGGGGGGGGTGCAAAACTTGACGTCAAACATAATTTGAAAATTTGTCATTGTGACAATGTCTGATCAATTACCGAAATCTGAAATTAGGGAGATTTGAATTGAAAATATATTATTATGTTAACCACCTTGTGACCAACGGGTTACTGTAGTTTCTGTGAAATGGATGATAATTATCCTCAAAAATTTTTTGAGTAATTGTAATTTTTTGTTTTCCGAATATAAAAAACAAAAAAATCACTGTGCATTGAACCGTTTGACGACCGTGGAAATTTTTCCTGATTAACTCCTTTTTTGCGGTGGTAGATCATCAAATGTAAAATTACGATAATTCCGTTCCCTCCTTACTGAACAAACTATGTTTTTAATATACAAAACCAACAGAAATCCAAGTTAATGTCAGAAATCCGCAAATTCGTAGTGCATCTTTGCAAAGATCGTTGATCATTACACTGGAGGCAATTTCTAGTCTTCAATCTTTCCAAACGAAAAAAAACTGTTTCCTGGTTCGAGAAACCAGAGATGAACGAAACGGAAAAGATCATACACGATGAGGACTTCCTGGAAGAATTCCTGAATGATCTTTCGATATTTGTTCCTCTCGTGTCTGCTACATGATCAAACGAATGTGATCATTCGAATTTGAAAAAAAATTCTCAACCTTGGCATTTATTCAATCCGGATTAAGTTACAGTTTCTTTTTATGAAATCGAACAAGAAAGTCAATGAAAAAGATTTCGTTCAAAATATGTGCGACCTAATCGAACATAATAAAACATCTTTGTGATCAAACAATCTGAAAAACACTGTTTGTGTTCCAGTTCATACTGATGTGAAAATGACTCAAATCCTCACAATAAAACCTCTCAGATTCAGTTTTTTGGAAAAATCCATGCAAAATACAAGAAGGTTTCAGCACATTTCATATTTCATACATTTTCTCAAAACATTTTTTAATTTTCGAATAAATTCAAGTGTTGGAAGAAATTTGGAAATTAGAAAGAAGTATTATTTTTTCTAGAAAATTTCTGGAATGTGGAATCTAATTGAGGCCTAAGTATAACACATAAAATTACCTGCCTTGAACCGTCCTAAAATTGCGAAGCCCATCTTTTAAAATGCAATTTGTCACTGAAAACGCGATAATGATGGCTGATATGATTCAGTTGGAACTGGCGAGCGGATTTCAATATTTTCAGACATATCTAATTATGCAATTCTTGGCATATTCTGGAATTTTCATCAAGATCTGGGTGTGCATTTTGTTGAAGTTCTCTATAGAATGCATTGCCAATTTTTTCATTTTATGTTGAATTTTTTCTGTGCTCCAAACTTGCTTCTATGGTCTTCATAATTCAAAAACTTGAACATTTTTTTTAAATTAATTTCTGATAATAGTCTAACATATTACCTATCCTGATCAGCAGACAGTGAATATTTGGCGAACAGTGAACTGTATTGTGAATTTTGCTTTCATTCCGAGTATATTAAAATTCCAGAAATCTAAAAATCCCATTCATTTATTTATTCATTATAGTAATACTATGAAATCATATTTAATTCAATGACTTGCAATTTATCAAATGGATAATCTTCCGGTTCTGACCGACTCTATCATCCTTTTCGAATAGACTTTCGTTCGTCTGGATAATATTCGCAAAACACACATCGCATGACTGTGTTTTGATGGGTGTTCGACTGGCACAACAGCCTGGATTCAGTAAAATCTACTATTTTCAGATGATACAAATTTGTGTCCGATATATTGTGTCCGATATCTCTTGGTGGGATTAGACCACACAGTTTGTCAGTCGGCGGACCAAACTATACGAGTTATCATCTGATATGTGTGTTCCTCGTTTGGGCGCAACACTGTGATTTATGCTTCCATTCCAAACTTTGAGATATTGGCTTCACTGATAGGTTTATGCTGTCCCCTCAATTACCATCTTCAAAAAAAGTTAGTAAAACCGTTTTGGACACCAACGACGAAAATTCTCGAAAAAAGAATATTGGTTGATTGATTTGATGGGTGCGTGAAGGTCACAACTTGTCTGGACAAAGATCTACGGGGCGGCAGAAACACAATATCAATGTTCGCCAATGATAGCAGACGACCAAGAATGGTTCAATCGGAATAATGATAACAATTACGTTGGGTTCGGTATTCGTTGCAACCACGTTGTAGTTGCAAACTGTTATTGTGTGACGTAATGATCCTGTCAAAGACCAAATCCGCAGGAGTGATGTACCGTCTTTGTGACTTCTTTGATACTGGGTGCCAGTTTCGATTAGGCTAATCACAACTCTCATCAAAGATCGCTGGGAAACGTGCCAAGTAAGAAACAGTCCAGCACTTAGCAGATTGCCGGATTGTCGAGAACTTCATGAAAAGCCCTTTTGGCACAATTTATCTGAATATGACTTATGAAATCATTGGATAGATCTCAAAACTAGCACCAAATGTCTGCAAACAAAATAACACTGATAATCATAAAGACATCGGAAGAAATCGAAACAGGGACTGAATATCGGAGGGTGAAACTTGAAACATTTTGATGAGAATAATACAGAATTTTCATGGCTCTGAGCGGAAATTGTCTTGATTTTCTTTTTTTTCAAATGGAATGTACATAACTTCAACAACGAGACTTCGAGCGGCAGTTTCTGAACATATTGCATTGCTATCGGCTCAAGGGACTCTTTCGAAACTGTTAATTAGGAATATGAAACCTGTAACAGTTTTACCGTCAACGCTCTAATGAAATGACCATCGTAACTTCCAACTTTGAGCACATATATCTCGTTTCCTGTTACAATATTTCACAAACATTTGTTGAGACACAGTTCTTAGCTCAAAACTCGCCCAATGTTGGTGAAATTGATCAGTTTTCATGAATTTTGAACGAAAATGCGCCGATTTTTTTGATAAAAGTTTCCGGAACACATGGCTGGAAAAATAGAAGAGGTCTCTGAAATAGAAGGGCCAACTCTTTTGAAACAGGTCTCGCTGTGTATTGTCAGTTGACTACTTTGATATCTCACATAAAAATCAAGATTGATTGGCTCAAAGTTGAAAGTGAAAAATATATTAATTTGAGCGGTTACTGTACCCATCAGCTAAGCTATTCTGTTGAATCTGAGATGATTAGGTTTAACAGAGAAAGTTCTGGAGAACTCTGATGTGATTTCCAATGTAAAATTATCTAATTGAAATGTCCTTTTCACAAAAAGGACCCTTCCCAAAATAGTTCAGTATGATAGAAGGTTGCAGCCCTTCTAATACAGGTGTTACTTTAGATCTCACTCTGTGAACTAATCGTTACTTTGTAGGTATATTTGTTTTTGCCAATGTCATTTCTTCCGTGTGAAGAAAATTTCGTGGGTGTCTAAAAATGCATTCAATTCGTTGTCATGCTTCAAACAGAACTAATTTGAGAACTCCACGACGCCGGATGCTCGGTATTTTGAACCGCCACCTATCGAACAAGACACTCGTTTACTACATAGTTTTTATTTTTGGAAACGTCACTTGTCAAGTGAAAAAAGAACATACAAAAAGTGTCAGTGTCAAGAACTGAAACATGGCTAATGACGTGCCGCACACTGTGTGGCAAGAATTCACGCTTCGGGACACTTAAGTTGAAAAGAAAAGAATGTTGCAACATTTTGAACCGGAAGTTTGGCTGATTTCTCCAGAATTTTTTTTTGATGTTTCGAGGGTAGTTGCGAGGGACCAACTTCAATTGGATTTTGAAGCAATCCGTATTTTATCATTCTGATTTAAATACTGTTCCATCTTCAATTCTTTGAATCTTTCGATAATGTGTGAATTAAAATAATTGATTTTAATATTTTTATATACAAACAATTATTCAAATTTTTTCCATTTTGCATCAATGAAATACAATAAATGAGTTTGGAGAGAAAGAAAGCAGATGTGAGATGGAGCATTTGTGAAAGAAGTTTTGCAAATGTTTGAAATGGAGGTGGGGGTGGGGGCCTATATGAGAGTTTCTCTGACTGGAATCCGCCAAGTTTCAGGTCAGGAAAACGATATGTGCCACGAAGCATGGCAAGATGCATCTTATTTTCAGCGAAATATAAAGGGAAAGCTTACGGTAGGGAATTCAAAAAAGAGCGAGGCAACAAATAGCAAAAGAGCTAATTTAGTTTCAGAGAGATAAAATAAAAGAACCAAAAGATAAAATTTGAGAGGAATGAATCTGAGTACAAGTTTTATGACTGTCTATATAAAAACATGTTAAAGCAATAGTTAAATTACAAAAAAGAAATATTTGCCCCATGAATAATATATGTAAATTTGAAAATGATGCAAAACTCTTTTGAATATGATTGAAGGGATCGAAAAGAAACAACGCACATGAGATGGGAACAACTGGGAGTTTTAGGCTTTGAGAAATGAGGAAAATGGATCACATTGAAATGGAATTCATTCGGGAGAGATATTCTGGTAATTTGAGTTTGGAATTTCCGGTACACCAATAGAGATTTCCAAAGAAAGGCCCTGAGATTAGAATGATAGATGGAAAACAACAACAATAACAACATGTATGAAATCTTGTGATTTGAGAAAATGCAATGTTTTGAGTATGTTGAAATAAATTAATTTGAAGCAAGAACTGTATAAATATTTGTCTGACATTTCCTGAATGTCATCTAAATTTCATTCTTCATCCGTTGCTATCCGTAACCTTTTCGCTCCATCATCATCTAGGTCCTCACTGGGTGATCGATCGGTTTCGGGTTCAATCTTTGGTGGCGCAACGTCCGGAATCTGAAAAGGTCAAAATTTCCATAATTGATGAGGCAGCACTCGTTTAAGTGTGACTAAATGGGAGGGCTACTCAAAATGTTGCATGGACCTGTCACTTTTTTTTGAGTTGCTTTTTGTGTGTTTGCTTGTTTAGAATGCATGAATAGCCAGTGGCAAACGGAGCTCGCGCGCGCGGCGAACAAAAAATGACGAATTTTAAATGAACATTAGTTTTGACTTGTTTCTCTTTTATTTGTGGCGAGCATAAATCGTCAAAAGTTGCAGTGACAGGTGAAATTGAGCGACAGGGCGCCAGAAAAGAGCAAAAATAGATTGAGGAAGGTGCAAAAAAAGGGGACTGACCTCCATGTTGGTATTTTGTATGAGGCAATTTAAGATCAACAATCTGCCGTAAACACTGTAATAGAAAGACATCGAAACGGTTTGACTTTCAGCCTGTACATCTCGGACTGTGTTAAAAATATTAAAAAGCGGTTTGCTGAAAAAAATTTTCATCATAGTATTCAAAATTTTTGTCAGTTGACCACTTTTTGGCATCTTTTCCGGGAACCGAGATATATGGGTTCAAAGTTAACGGTTTGGCTGCCTTTCTGTTAGAGTGTTCACGATTTTTTAGAGCGAATGGATGAAGGTACCTACAGTATCAAAAAAGTTCAGAAGAGAAGAATACATCTTTCAAATAACTGAAATAAGAATTCAGAAATTGTATCCTTTCTCGAATTCCTCATAGTTGTATAATTAATGGTATTGCATTTATTGAGTAGAATTGGGACCCCGTAGTAATACGATTTTGAAGTCAGCTGGATACCTTGTGCAATAAACTATTCACTACACTGCTTGTGAGAATTACAGATACACAAACAGACACAAATATCTAACAATCCCAAAAAACTATACTACAATAACTCACCGGTCTGTTGATTCCAATTGGATTTTGGTTGATTTGTTGGCGCATTGGAGAAGGGGTTTGATGAGGAGATTGTCCAGCTAAAATTGATCATGATTAACTTACAAACCAGTTCCCTTAAGACTTACGATGCCTTTGTGGAGATGGGCTCTTCTTGGCAAAAATGCTCTTGGGTTGCGATGTTACTGCTCCCGGGAACGGTCGCTTTCCGGGATGATGCTCCAGATTTCTAACGTCTTTCGCTTTCATGTCCTCGCGAGCGTCCTTGAAAATGGGATCAATTGGGCGCGCGGCAAAGTCAACCTGAAGAGAACAATTTTTATATGGAAGCGATTGGTGCCTGTGTGTGCTTGCATGGAGTGACAACAGTGTTACTGGTAGCAATCATTCAAGACAAAAATCATCATTCTACATAAAAATTGCTCTACTTCTAATGGTTCTTTTCTATGTTTGGGGGATAGGGGATGAGGAATAACACCTTTACAGTTCCAAAAGGGAAACCGAGAGTACATTTACAAAAATAGTTCGAATATCCAGCGTAGATCATTGACCCGACATGGAATGACAGACACACAAACAGCGGAAATGCGATTTTTCAGGGAGAAGAGAGAGAGAGAGAGAAATAAAAGGGTTCACCACAAAACGTACAACTTGGCCATTGTCATCGACTCCGACTTGAACTCCGTTCGCTGTCAGGTGTGTCTTTGCGTGGCTCATGCAATTGTTCAAATACGACATCATCAAAATTGGTGCCAACTGAAATAGAAAAATTGTTGGTCAATTCTTCAAAGGCGACACAAGGGTAGGAGAGCGGATATTCGGCGCAAAATTGTTTTGCGGAACTTAGGATACAAGTGTACACCAATTAGTTGTTACTTACCGCTGGCGGACGCTCATCGGCATCCGGTACTCCATCGGTTTTTGGAGATCCTCCAGCTTGTCCATTAGTGTTGGTTAGCCCTTGTTGCCTTCTGTAAATCAATATAAATAAAAGGATCATACAATTGAAATAAGACATATAGAAAGGACAAATAGAAGTGGACCATCGTACGATACTATTCCTTCATGCTACTTACATCAATTTTGGTCCAACTGTTACTCTAAAAAGTACTACTTAAAAAAAGGAGTGATAACAGAAAATCTGAACTAATGAAGAAACAAAATAATATTGTGTTCTCATAAGTTAGTTCTGTGTGATTCCTGCAGGCTACTCACTTCTGCTCATTTTTCCTGAACGTCTCAGTGTAGTGGTCTTCTGACATTTGGATCATAGATAGAACAGGGGTCGCAACATTCGACCCCGGATTTCCGTTTCCCGACACGGCTGTGTTGGTTTTTGAGTTGTTGTGAAACCCCGCCGCTGATGCTGCAGCATTCAGTGGATTGGCGATACCGATAGGATTCAATGGATGAGGGTGTGATGGTCCCGCGGCACTGGTAGTTGGTTTGTCATCCTCGACATTGATGAGGGATTCCTGGAAGAATGTATGATTTTCGGAAATTCACACTCGCAACAGCCGAAAACACTATAATCTAGTCTGCGTCCTTCAGAAAAAAACTGATAGAGATCTTAAAAAGATGCGATCGAAATATTGAAAGGAGGTTGAGAAGAAAGAAGAAAGAGGACAGCAGATTTGAAATCTAATTGACTCTGATTCTGGAACTAGTCGATACCTTTGTTGGTTCGCCTGTTGCAGCTCCTCCGCTAGTTGCTCGTGGTGGACTTGGATCCAATGGGATTGGTCTTGGAGATACATTTGGTTCACTGTTGGAGCCATTCATAACAGATTGTCTTACAGCCTGGAAGAAAGATTGCATCCACGGACAGCAAGAAGGGTGAGAAGCAAGGGTTAAAAGAACATGCGAAAATAGAAAAAAAAAGAAACGCACCTCCGTTGGTCGAATGAATGGATGAAGATTCGATACTCCTTGTCCGATTCCGGAAGCTGCAACTTGTTGTTGTTGAGCCATAGCTTGAAAACGAATGTCATGAAGGGTGGCTTTATTCCCATTCTGGCCGTCTGGAAAGAAAGGAGAGGAGTTCACAACACTAGACAACACAACGTTTTCTAATCTCACTGTTATTGGCGTTAAGCAGAGCCTGCTGGAGGAGCATCGTTTGCCCGTCGATGTGTTTCTGGAATTGTTGTTGTTGCGCGTTTGGTGTTACAGCTGGAGGAACCGGTGTGGTTGCGGACGGCATGCCTGGTCCATTGAGCTGGAATGGTGTTGGAGTAAGCCCAACGGATGCGTGACCGGCGGCGACATCTGCACTTCCCAATTTGCGTTCTTGGTTTTGAATTGATCCTGATGTACCGGCAGAAAGAGATATTTGTTGTTGCTGTTGTTGCTGCTGAACCAATGCGTTTATCTGTTGTTGAAGAGCATTTTGACTGGCTTGTTGCTGAAGTTGTTGCTGGAGAGCTTGCTGCTGCTGCTGCTGTTGTTGGTTACGAAGGATCTGGTTCAGTTGCTGTTGAAGAAGAGTGTTTTGCAGCGGTACTGGAGCTCCTCCTTGTGGTGTTTGAAGTTGTTGAGCTTGTCGAAGAAGACTGTTGTGTCCAATGAGACTGTTCAACTGTTCGATTTGGGATTGAGTTGGGACATTTCCTCCACTGGCTGCCTGGTTTACCAAGGCAACCAAATTGGGATTGCTTGGCGTACCTCCAGAATTACCTTCTTGCGAACTAGTACTTGGATGTTGTGCGGGTGTTGGAGTTGGAGTAGCTGCTAGAGAGATTGGGTGACCGCTAACAGCTTGTCGAGCAGCTAACAGATTTCTTGATTGTTGTACTCCCAAATTGAAAAAGAATCTGAAAATGTAAAAATTAATAAAAATTAAAGTCCTGCTAAATTCTACCTGAGAGTGTTAATATCTACAAGCGGCAAGTCCATTCCAGAAGTATCGTGGCTTGGTGCAACCTCGACATTCACATTTCGGTATGAATTCGTGTCAAAAAACGGAACATGGCAAACTGGAGATCCTACAGGCCATGGCATCGATGGAACGCCCGGCGGTGGAGGTGGACATGTTGGATGTGCTAATTGTTGTGCAGTCTGATTTGCAGTCATTTGTTGGGATAACTGTGCACTTTGCTGGGCAGCTTGGGCGGCTTGCGCCACTTGAGCCTGGGCGTTTTGAGCTGCCTGCATTGCTTGAATCTGATGAATGAGCTGTGCAGCATTCGGTTGACCTGGTGGTTGAGGTGCTGATACAACAATTCCTGCAGGATTCCCAGCCTGCTGAGCCGCTTGCTGAGCTGCTTGATGTGCATTTTGTTGAGCTGCCAATGCTTGTTGTTGAGCCTGTTGCTGAGCAGCAACTGCTTGCAAATGTGCAGTGGCTTGTTGTTGGGCTTGTAGTTGAGCCTGCTGCGCAGCTTGTTGAGCCTGTAGCTGCTGTTGAGCTTGAGCAGCTTGTTGCTGAGCTTGCAGATGATGCTGAGCTTGAGCTTGAGCCTGAGCTTGCGCATGCGCCTGTGCTTGAGCTTGAGCCTGAGCTTGAGCTTGAGCTTGTGCTTGAGCTTGAGCTTGAGCTTGGGCCTGAGCTTGGGCCTGAGCTTGGACCTGAGCTTGTGCCTGCGCTTGTGCCTGCGCATGAGCCTGTGCTTGAGCATGAGCCTGAGCTTGAGCGTGTGCCTGAGCCAGATGTGGTTGAGGCACTGGCGGATGGTTCATTGCTTGTACATTGACTGCTTGCGCTGACGACACCTGATTCTGATTTGAAGATGATGGCTGAGGCGGGTGAAGTGTGAGTACCCCATTTTGTAACATTGCGATCTGTGTTGGCGTGAGCCCAATGCTCTGTAGACTCTGAAAAGAAGACACATTTAGAAACCTAAAAATTTGAAAAAGAATTTTGCCATCATAAAAATGTAAAGAATTTTTAAAGAAGTAATTTCTCGAAAAAATAAATTTATGTATACACAAAAGAACGGCGGCACCAGAACATGAGTCATTATGTGCCTCCGGTTTTGTAAATAACTAAACGAATTTGTCATCTTTGCCTCATCGGAAGGGGGAATCCTTTCTGTGCCTCCCAACATACAGTCATACATAAAGATACTCAAGTACTAATGCAAATATGATTTTCTAGACAACAAAAGAATGAGAGAACGCTACGGTAGGATGACCTAAAAGTATGTTTTGATCGGATTGGCTTACCTGTAGTTGTGCTGGTGTAATCTGATTCATGGCGTTGATTCCATTCCCCACGTTCATTTCTGAAAGACATATTGTAATGATTATGACTTGGAACACAAACTACGTATTTGATAAAAAACCCCAAGTATCATAATTTTTAGGCTAGAAACATCTGTTTTGATAAGATATGATTTTACGCATACATGTTGTGAGAAGAAAAGTTTGCAGTGATTAGCAGAAACACCAGAGAACAGGTGATTGTGATTGATCTTGGAGACAAAAAGAGGAAGAGAAGAGTTGGAAGTGAAGAGTGCTAGTGTACAAAATGTGTAATAAAAAGTAGAGAAAAGGATGACGAGAATATAGGGGAGACAGTTGGTAAAATCGAAACACTTGATGCAATTTGATAGTCATGATGTTGAGGGTGTGAAGGCTGAGTTGATAAGATCATATTAGAGGACGTTTGTAAGGCCTGGGGGAGAGAAGAACCTCACGTCTTGATAACAAATTTAGAATGTTGCACTGTTTGTTTTTGATGATCACTCAAACTTGTACATGTCTACAGGAACGACACGTGAGAATTGCAAGGAAGTCATGACTAACAGTTGTGGAGAAAAAATCTTGGTAGGTTAAGTGACCCCGACGAAGCAACAAAAGTTTTGTGGAAAACAAAAGAACGGACATTCCGGGACCAAACCGATGGGTTTAGAATTTCAGAATCAACAAAATGGCATGTCAGAGGGACAGGACAGAAAGCACTAATACGTTGGATTCTCCCTAATGCAAATCTCTGGATTCCAACCATAATGGAAATGAAAAGAAAAATAGCGTAGAGACGAAGAGACACAGAATAAAAATCTTGGAACGTAGAATGTGGCAAATAAGGTATTGTTCTAATGCCCATTTCCTTATTCATCCGTCCATCTTAATTCCGTGTTTGTCCACCGCCTAGATATTGTATGCGCGGGTTTTCTTATTGTTTGACCTCCCCCTTCTTCCCGTCTAGTCCCGTCTTGGCGGTACCTCACAACAAACTACACACAATTTGACCTCCCAAAGTGTAGTACAAGAGAAAAAAGAAGATAGAGCTCAGAAGTGGAGGAAAAAGACAAATGTTACATTTCGCCGAGACACAAGAACTTTGAAAATAGAGGGACCCTCGGCACACAAAACTGCAGGAATGATCGTTGGTGCTGCGCTCGACGCAACGCGGTGTAGTGTGGGAAGGATGAGACAAGAAAAGAGATAGAAGTGAGAGAGAGAATCGCAAGACGTTTTAGTTTGGTTGCTCAATGAGTTGCTCCAGGCGCGGAGCAAAATGTAGCCTTATGCTCCTGAAGGTTTTCCTGGGATCGGATATGTGCCGCTCGATTTATATATAGCATGCACTCTAAGCGAAATATAATTAATTCCAAGCTCTCCCCTCTTTTTATATGTTTGTGGATGACGTCCGTCAAATAGAATATTTGGAGATTTCTAGAAAAGAGAATCGGAAATTTGATTAGTTGCGTGGTTGGTCCTTCTTTTTCCATCTTTTGAAAGCATATTCGGACCACATGGGGTCTGTCTTTAATTCAGGTCTTTAGAGATTAAAAATTTCATATCTTCCTTATATCTATCTACACGTGTTTGTTGGCCCTCCATAGACTTTCGAAAAGCTTAAAAAATAAATATAGATTTACGTGACCCTTCGAGCGACAAACCAGTGAAAACTAGGTTAAATCGCGCCGAAGGCGCACCAGCCAGCTGGTTTGACATGCCACTCTATTTTAAATAACTATGATCTAGCAAAAAAAAAACAAAAATTGAACCAATATTTGTTTTCTCAAAAGTACGACTCTGGACAAAACCTTTCGAATTCCCTTGCCCTTTATATTTTTTGGGACATGGGACATAACATAAAACACAAAATGAACCCAGTGCAAACGTTGCAGCACAAACCATTTGCATAATACGTTTTCCTTAGAATCAAAAAATAAGAGGATGAACTTTCGATACAAATCCATGTCTGAGATTATCAGAGCAGTAAATAAAATCAAAAAACAAGAACACGTCTCTGCTCCAGTGAACAGTGTCTATTCTGATTTTTGAACGAGAAAACTAGTGGGAAAAAGAGAAAAAATGACTTCAAAATTTTTAAACCACGGAAGAAGACCACACTCTTCTGCGTGGGAGCTTCACTTCAAAAATTGAGAATAAAATATCGAAAAATGACAAACGTTTGTGTATTGGTCTGGAAATATGAGACGCGTTGCGACTTTCTAAAAATGGAAAAAAATGCCCTTCCAAAAGGCTAAAAATGGAGGCAATTTAGTATAACAATTGAGTGGGTGACAAACAAAAATTATTGTTTTTAAAAAATGAAAAAAAAATCTGACTTGCACATATTTTCAGTAGACAGAAAATTGCTGTTTTGACAGAGTAGGATTGAACACCCACCTAAAAATATGAAATAGATCTCTTCTAGTCAACACGGGGAGCGATAGATTCAAAAAATAGGAAGTTGGCAGTGAACTACGTAGTCGTCACCGTAATCTCATTTTGGCATCTATCTCTCTTCGCCCTCCCGAACATGAAAGTGCTGAGAAGAAACAGTTTATCTTAGAAGGTAATCGCATTTGAGGTCCCCTTCTTCCGAATCTCATTTTCCATCGGATCATTGAAGGTCACTAAAACCGTTGCGAGAAAATTGGCAGAAGAGGATAGTAATAAAGATATGGATCCGGCGTGAGTAGTCATCGCAGGATATCAAAAGATTGCTCTGGACAAATACGTGGCGCAAAGAACAAGACAATTTTTTCAGTTTACGTGCAAAAGAAAGGGACAAAAACCTTTCGTGAATGGATGGGGTCAGTGGTGTGGGAAGAGCAAAAAAGAGACCAGCAAGAAAAAAAGGGTGGATACACTTCAAGTGTTGGGAAGAATGTCACTTAAAATGCAAAATTCTCCTTTTTGCCTCACTAATTTCAAATTCCATTTTCCCGAAAGGTTTCTTGGAATTAGTGTGACCTTAGACAAAATATTACTAGGGCATAACGACCATAATCCGATTTTTTTTGAGCACAAAAGAGTTGTAAGCTGTTCGTATCTATTGGAAGTTTATAGTTTTGTACTTTTTCTATTCACATTTAAGTTTTTGAACGAATTAAGAAAATTAGAGCGCACAGCATCTCATGTGCGCAGCTTATACTTTGTAATAAGACTGAAAAAAAATGTCCGAGTCTTATGAACATTTCAAATCTAGTATGTCAGCTGAAACATTAAGAACGCGTCCTGGCCTTCTAAAAATATATTTTCACATGCCTCGAAATATTTCAGAAATCACATACGTGCGAACTCTCTAATCTTCTGAAAGTGCAACAAAATCCAAAGAGCAGGAAAAGGGGTTCAAAATGTTTTGAAATTCTTGGGAACACAGCCATGCACTATTAAAGATGCATCAAAAAAGCAGAAGACATAACATTTTGGGTAGACGGAGGCGGAGAAAAAACTGAAATTCTGAGAACGGGGCATCCTCCAAACAAGGAAGCAATGAGACAACAGGGAACAAAAAAAAAATTTTTACCTAAAATTGATCAAAAAAGATCGTTCTTACTTTTCACTTTTGACGTCTTTAGAACCATTTTGAAATATGAAGATTTGGAATACGTAAAAGCGTACTTTGTGCCTAGTAGAGAAGATAGAGGTGGACTTGGAGCTTCGGTTCTTTGAAACTCAAGGGGAAGGGCAAAGAATGCAAAGAAGGAGATGAAAAAAACAGCAAAAAAGAAGAAGGGACCCTAATGGGTTTTGTTGTCAGACAAAAATGTTTCTGAGGAGTTCTACTCACGTATTTTTTCTTTTTTGAGAAAATATTTTATTAGAACCTCTGAGATGTACGGAAATATCTGTTTGGGTCATTTTGTTGCGTGAGTGAAACATCACGACATTATTTGTAGGCTGATGTATAAGGAGTTAACAAATAACACATATCGTATTTCTTTGCCCTATTTATTCCTCTCTTTTTTCGCGGAGAAACTGTTTCCCAGTTCCACACACTTCTGAAAAAAACATGCTAGCCGATCTTTGCTTTTGGCTTCTGGTAAGATGGTGCACGCGAAAAAATAGAGGTCATACTAGATAGAAAAACCTCTTCCGTTTTGGCCAAAATCAAAAGATGAATGAAAACGGATCCAGAAACCCTCTCATCTGACCCAAAGAGATGATGAGAGAGGGAAGCTCTCAAACGGAAAATACTAAAAAGAGAATTCACGGAATTAGAATGAAGAAAAATAATATTACGTTTGCATGAAAAGTGACCTACATGTGCGGGATATATTGAGAAGAAGATAGAAAATAAAAAATGAAGAATATTCCAGGAGTGAATATATTCTGTGGTTAGAGCATACGTTTTCAGATCATAGAGTTTCAGGCAGCATGAGATCACAGCAAAAATTTGAAGAAAAAAAAACAGAACAAACCTTCTGGCCGCTTTGGCGGTGGTCCCGTTGTTCCTTTCGATGATTTTCTCTGTTTCTTTCCTTTATCGTCTGAACCCGATGAGTTTGAGTTTGAAGCTTCCGCTGAAAATAGATAGAGGATAGAAGTGGTGTGAGTTGAAAGTTAGAGCAGCTGAGAATAATACAGGTGATAAATGTTTTGGTCTTGTTGATGAAAATACACAGAAATCAATTCTGGAGTACAGGTGGCAAATGACACATTTCTGATTAGTATAAAGTAAAAAACATCACTGCAGAAATTAATGGAAAAACTCAAAAATTCACACCTGTACAAATTTCTCAAAAACAGGTGTGTCAGTATTGGCTCGCAAGTTTTTTTGTTTATACTTCTATAATAGTCAAAGCTGGATAAATAATGAAATATCTGGAAAGCAGGATTGTATTTCTGGTAGCAGAAATCAGAAACACGATTTTATGTTCGTATTATGCCAAAAATGAAACAGTTTTCTACGAGGTTTTATGACTAAAAAAGTTTAAATCGGCGAAGAGAGAAAAATAATACTGTGAACATTTATGTATACTTTGTCATATGGTTTGGTTTAGTATTGCTACTGAACTGTGATAGAATTTCGATGAGGA